TGTCAGAAGTTAGTCGACTACAGGCGCTTCTGTTGGAGTCTGCTGGTGCCTTAGGTTTATAGCTGCCCTGCCTGTTAGCTTACCTTAGCATAAAGCCTGGGAGTCTAGGGAAAAGGTAAATGTCTAAATGTAAAAAAATCTGCACTTCTGAAGTTCAGAAACTAACATGATGTGCCTTGTTTGTTTAATCTGTGCAAAAACCAAAGTGTTAAAATAAACATTTGTGGTTTGAATGTGTGATATGTGCTGGACAGTTTCTCAGCTGGGTGCAGTAATGGTTAAGCTGAATGATCTTGGCAAAAATGTAATAAAATCAGCACATATAGATGCTACATCAATATATACAAAACTTCCCTCCTTGTGAAGGGGAAACAGTTCAGATAGGAAAAAATGCTAGCATGTCATCATTGGAGTCTGGGAATCTAGGTGTGTGTATTGAGAAGAAGGTGGGAGTGAGGGTAGTGATGGGAGTGGTAGTTGAGAAATCTGAGTGAAAGACCATCTGTTTGAAGGGGTCTGGGGATCAGGGGGTCTGAGAGTGACACTTCCTGACCACTTCTGTCAGAATGATGGTGACAGAGGAGCTCGAGGGTAATTCAAAAGTTAAGGGGAGCTCTTTCACAAAATACCAACCCAATTTTCAGTACCTGTCTTCTCTGATTATCAAACACATAAATATACAAGTGAATTGGAGAAATTAGTTTTCCCTTTTTTCTGTTGGCTTGTGTTAGGAAGGAGACAGAGAAAGGCTAGGGGTGGGGTGGGGGGCATCTCTTAGATGCAGAAACACTGAGCCGGCTGTAGGACCTGGGTCCATGGGGGGAGTGGATACAGCAGCATAATGACCAAGCCAAATATTTGTCTAGTCCATATTCTGAGAGCATAATGAAGTCCTTTTACAGATGGCATCAGTGGAATCTGGACACTGATTTTATGCCAGAGAGAGCAGGTTTCACTGTGCCCTGCTGTTTTCACTTAGGCTACCCTGGTCTCTGGTGGCCCAGTCCAAATTCAATACAGACTCTTGTGTCAGGAATAGAGGAATTATGACTCAGTTTGACAAATGATAAGTGCTGAATTGGAAACTGAAGTTGGATTTAATCAGGGGATGAATGGTGTACTGGGGTGGGATTTCATTATTTCAAATGGAATAGGAATTTAAATATAACTTCCTCCTACTGTCAGAATCTGCTGTTTATGGAGGGAGGAGCTTGAAAGGTGGAATTTCACAGCACAGGATCCAGCCTATTTCTCTCTCACATAAACATCTTAAACTCTGCATAGCTTTGCACATACTAACCATATCAGTATGGTACAGTGCACATCTGCAATATTTATACTCATAGAGGTGTGAATCATAATATGTTAAAGGAGTAATACTTTTCACAAAGCCACCAAATGTCATAACAGATGTGGAATTAGCAATTCCCAAAGATAATGACCAAGTATAACCAAGTATTGCAGTCATTTCAAAAGTTATCACTGTTATTTTATATGACATACTCACATTTTTGTGACACATGTAACTTATTGCAGTTCTGCTTTAAAAGGGAAGCGAAGGTGAGAGCTGCTGCAGGGTAATAGTAAATGCTTGGCCTACAGGCGCTTCTGTTGGAGTCTGCTGGTGCCTTAGGTTTATAGCTGCCCTGCCTGTTAGCTTACCTTAGCATAAAGCCTGGGAGTCTAGGGAAAAGGTAAATGTCTAAATGTAAAAAAAATCTCTGGATCGGTAAAGTTCAGTCACTTACAGGCTCTCCCAGAAATTTACACTACTTTCCCTTCAGTAAAAAGAAAATGTACATAACCTTCTCCTTTTTTGACTGGCTCCTCCTCCCTATTCATTTACAGTCTCTAAATAGAGGATGGTGACAAAGCCCCTGTGTTACAATAAATAGTAAATGAGCATCATTTTAGCGCCATACAACAACATCACAACCCTAAACACCAAAATAGAGTAAGAAAATAGCAAACACTGCAGATAGCAATAAAAAACCAGCACATAGTGGGGAAACTCTGCTCCATATTTCACACTTCAACAAGTGCAGGTCTGTGTGGTGTTGACACTCTCCATTCACAGTAACCAGGTCTGTGAGTCTGCCCCCAAAAGAGCTCGTCTCCCCCAAGAAGGTTATTCTGGTTATTATGAGAACTCAACATGCTCATTATGGTTGTGGCACTGTTTTCAGGGTGGCTGTCTACTCTGGTGTGCCAACACTGGAAATGACTGTGGTGAAAGAATGACAGGGAGAGAGGGAGGTGGGTGTGTGTGTGTGTGGGGGGGCAATAAAGGAAAGAGAGATAAGAGGATTTAGCAAACAAAAGCAAAGAAGATAGAAGAGTCATTATGAATAGTAGAGGGTGACAGATTAAAGGGAAACGACAAAGAAAAATAGATAAAGAAAGTGGAAAAGACTAAAATGGGACTGAGCGACAGAAATCACAACAGACAAAAGTTTTTTTGGTCACTTTCCACATCGCAGTGCATCATCCCTACACAGGAAGGAGACAGGACCAGGAACACAAACAAGTGGATAAAACCACTTGTAAAGGAAAACCACAGACACTATACACACATGCATGTGTGCCTTTACACACTCACATAAATGCACATTCATTTTATGAACAGTCTTCTTGTGTGCAGTGGAGGTGAGAGAGGTATCACTGTCTGGTTCACCACGACCACCTCTATAACCTCTGCCACTGCCCAGCGTGAAAACACACCTACACAGAGGTGACTGTCTTCACGACCTATTTATTTGTTGAGCGATATGAGGTTATTTTCCTCACACGCTCTGAAAACACCACTGTTTAAGTTGTTTAGCTACCTTTCCTTAGGTATTTTAAATCATGAATGCTGCACAGACAGTGTCACAAATTAAATGAAACCCCATATTTTTTATAATAAATCTATGATCCTTTTGCTATTAAAGGACATTGTCACCTGGAAACAAATATGAAAATGCTACTTATGTAAAACAATGGAGATAAACACAAGACACAAAAACACGTGAACCCCTAGTCAAGCCCAGTGTCCAATTTTTAAAAATTTCAGTCTGTAAAACACTGTAGTGGTTGTTTATATGTATGTACAGTACACAGCTCACTGTAAATGCTGATATGCGAACAGCCTGTGTTGCTCATGCATCAAAGAAAAGTCTTGTGTCCTCACTAGTACCAGGCTGCAATTTGGGCTCAAGGCGTGGCCCAGCACCCACTGGGCTGTGTCCGCCCTGCGTACCAGTAATGACCCCTTCCCTATAGGGAACGTTTGATCTGGGCTGCCTGTGTGCTTCAGCAGGGCCTATTTCTGGAGCGTGGGGGGGGATAAAGGGAGCTTTCAGACATGGTGCCAATGACCATAATTAAGCAGCTTTGAGGGGTGGCAGCGAGCATGCTGGCAAGCACAGGGTTTGTAATTTGGAAGAGGGGGCCAGAGTCGCTGCAGCTCATTGGAAGTACATGCTAGGGTCGGGTGGTACCTGGTACTAAAACACAAGGGGCAGTGTCTGTGAAGGGGGACTGTAAAAAGGATGTTAATGACTCATGTCAATTAGCACCCACCCCTGGGGCTGGCTGACCAAGGGCGTTAGGTTGAAATGTGAAGAGACTGCCATAGCTAACACACGCAGTTGGTGCAGCCCAAACAACCTTTTAGTGCTTAAGGCTTCTGGCCAGTCAGCTAAAAGGATGAGAGCTAATAGACCCAGGGAACCAACATCCTTACTCTGTAGCCTCCTCAGCTAGTTATTTGGGTGCTAACGTTGTTGTGTGGAGCATTCATCGGAACAAGCAGTTTGCTACAATTTCATAGTGTTTTGTTACATTCATTCAGAATAAGTGAGTGTAAGGTGGTGTTTAGGTGATAAGATCCTAATACTTCAGATTTGGCCTATTAATAAAAATTGATTTAGTTACAACTACAAGCAAGATTGCTATTGCTTAAGAAATTATTTAACAGATGATGGGCTGATGCTCAAACAGCTGTATGTTTCTCAGAAATGGCCAAGACAACTAATATAACTGATGTGAGAGGTGTTAGTATTGTTCATTCATTTTCTCCGTCAGTTAAAGGATTTGTTCGTCCACATTACAAAAATAAAACACACAGACAACATATATTTTCTCCCTTACTATTAGTGTCATTTATATGCACATAGTTTTGAGTTTATTTGCTCAGGTTTTGATATTTACTATAGATCAGGGAATTGTTTGTGGTGCTCAGAGCAAAGGAGCCCTCAACAGAAACATCCCTCTCTTCGTTACCCTGGATAAATCAAGGAGTTTGTCACTGGAAACACTACTGAAGAAATAGTCCTTAGTCTCAGTTTAAAAAGAATCACCTAATATCTCATCACCCATTCGGCGTAGTTGTCCATGAAACATCTCAAATAGGTGGTAATTACTGGCTTTTGTCAGGTGGTAATTACTGGCTGTTGTGGCTGCTCAGAGGGCTTGAGTAGGCCTCATCCTGGTCTAGGCCATGACCTCTCTTAAAGTAATGGGAGCTGTTCCAGGTGCTGTGCTCTCTCCACATCTCCATTGCCACTTCCAAAAGTATGGACAAAAAGGTGTCAACGCTGATGTTTCACATGGGAAAATGTTCCAAATATGTGTTTGAACTGGCCCTGGACTACATGTGCATGACTGAATAGGAGATCTTTCCAGAAAATGACTAATATCAGCATCATCAGTTATCTGATGATTAACCTTTCCTGCCTTTTTCAAAATCCCCCTATTCATTCAGCAGTTTTACTCAAAGGTGCAATGAGACACATGTTTAAAGTTTGTTGTAAAGTCACAAAGCTTCTCTTTTACAAGTTTTTTCTCTATATCATACTGTAGGTAATTTGCAATCAATCAAATGATTCCACAACCTTGAAGGACAAAAAGCTGGATAACTAAAAGAGAGTATCTGGAGCAGGCGTCCCTGCTGTCCGTGGAGCGCTGCCCACTGTGTCACCGTGGTTCATTCATTTGGTTTCCTGGCGCATGGGGGCTTTGGGTAGGCTCCGTGTGGCCACCCACTCATATAGGAAAGGCGTGTAGTTGCTCGACGCAACCGCTGGGTTTGTAACTTGACACCTGGTTGTGCGGTGCGTTTACCATCGCTATTTAAACCTATTTAAAAAGGAAAGGGATGAGTCCAACGCTCCTGACTCTGTAACCCTCTCCAAAAGAACCCAGCTTTCTGTCCGGGTGCGCGTCCCTCAATCTGGATCGGCATAAATGAATGAAGCACAGGGGAATATCGACAGACAATCGCAGGAAACTCTGCCATACCAGCCTACCAGAAGGGATTTATGCTGGGTTTGACAGGCAAATCAACACGAGTGTTTTTTCCTCTGGAAGTTCATCACAAGCTTGTCAAATGTGTAACACGGCGAGCGGTGTCTTCTGCCCCCTTGCAAAGGAGTCACGCTGTGATTAACGGATCAGGTTTTTGACTGCCAGGACAAATGAATACAAATGAATTTAGGCACCCGAAGGAGAGATTGCAGAACCTCTCATCTAGACACAAAGTAAGTAGCATTTCTTTTCATGTGTTTTATTGCTTCCGTGCGCGAGAAGAGGATGTTGGAAAGACCTAAGGTGAGTTACAAACTAAGGAATTGTATGGTTCCATGTGCGTACCTGTGAGGTGCCTGCTGGCTGTGGTCAGCTCGCCGTGCAAGTAAGGGGCCCCCTGGAGACACTTTGATTATGGGATCTGTTGGGACCATGCCAGTCATCTGTCATCATTTGTTATTTGTATGACATTTACCATAATTATGTCCAAATGCTTGTTTTTCCAATTTTTTTTATTTTAATTAAACTGTAGAAAGGACCAAACATAATCACAGGGATCATTTGGAAACTATTTGTGTATGCTGCATTTATATATCAGTGTCCTTTTGTGCCAGACAGATTGTGATTGATAAAAGAAATATAGTATATTCAACATACAAAGGGTGCATGCAGGAGCTTTGCCTCACAGTCTCTGGAGATTCTCAGTCATCCAGGTCTGGAATATGCAAGGTGGTAAAACTGCCAACTTCAGAAGAGTCTCAAGCAAGACTAGCTGCCAATTTTACCATTTTAGATTTGCCATACAGTGTCTACTTCTGTAAACTGATTAATCTGATAGAGCCAGCAAAACAGGCAATAGACTTATAAAGTTTAACGAGAGGTTTATCGTATCCACTGGAGTGTTTACTACAAAACCTATTTTGTTAGGATGCTTTCCATCCTTTCCCTTTGCATTCAGAATCCACAACCACATTTAGGGTGGGGTAGTTAAAAGGAGATGTTTTAAACGTAGATGAGAAGTTTAAAGAAAATGCTATCACAGCTTATTAGCCAGGACTATGACATAAGATTTTACAATAGTTTCTACGACAGCATACGTTTGTGAATTTATTCAGGAAAACATTTGCAACTGACATGAGTTTTACTACTCTGATGCTGTTTGCAGATTCAAGTGTTAACAACATACTTTCACAGACAGTGAGAAACATATTGGGCTATTGTAATGTAAGGACTTTGGTCTTGACTTGGCTGCAGTGTGGGCCTTTTTTAGGGATATACATGCAGCCGCCAGCTGTTGCACAATTCACATTAATAAGAAGGCATTCATTTATTCACACATGCATGCATCATTTATTCTTGCCTTTATGTTTTGTTTAACTAGATTATGAACATCTGGTTTAGTAAAGGACTCAGTGGTGAGATAGTGGGGTACAGTCATCAAGTGAGTAGGAAAGTCTGCAGGTTTGACCCATTGTTACCTTATTTATTAAGCTAAATGGCATCAGCTTTATTTAACACACCTGCCTGTATGTTGTGCAGAAACTGTCTGCCATGTTTTAAGAATTAAAAATGCTTGAAAAGGTCATTTAGCCAAGATTAAACTGTTGTGAGACATCTATAATTTAAGATGTTCATGGATTGTCATACAGATAAGATAGTCAACCTGCAGCTGCATGAAGCGTCATTCACCACATGTCCACCTGGTGTCGCCCTTTATGTCTCACTGCTGGCTTTCCACATGCAATTATTCTTGGGTAATATGTTAGTATAGTTTGGCATTTTTACACAAAAAACAACTACAAAGTTACATTTTTAAAATGTGATTTATAGCCACACAAGCCTTCTCTGGGTTAATTACTCTCACTCTGACTTGTATAATTAGTTTCAGTCGCCAGTAAAATCAAGTCGAATGACTCGCCTACAACTTTATGTTTCATCTCCTTCTAGGCTGCTTGGAACAATACAGCTATGTTGGACATTTGATAAGAGGAAATTTAGTTATGAAGTAAACAGTCAGAGATTACTTGACGACAGAGAAAGCAGATGATAAACATCATGTACAACTATATCACTGGTCTTCTGAGACGCTCTCCTCATTTGCCTCTGTTAGTGTCAGCTCATTCATAGGAATTTTCCACTGTGTGTGGTTGTGTGGGGGGGGGGGGGGGGGGGGGGGGGTGTGTGTGCTCAGGGGGCAGGATCACCTTTGGGAATTCCGTTCAGAGAATCACTGAGTATACCTATGGAGCTTGTAAAAAATTGGAAAGTATCCTGGCTTTTCATTGGCTTTTTCTCCGCTTTTGACTGGCTGCTGGCCTGAAGACAAGCTGCTGTTTGAGTGTGTGTTGAGAGGAGGTGCTTGTGGTTGTGGGAGTCAAGAGGTTAGAATCAGAGTTTAAACATATAGGTAATGCATTCAAGGTTTAGGCAAAGTGACATTGACAATGAACATGGTATCGTAGTGGTGGTTTAAGGGAGTGTGGCAGGGAAAGCGAAGTTTGCAGAAATGTGAGACTCAATCTGAGCATCCACATCAAAAATAAGAGAGACTGAATTTCTGTGCCACTTAAGGCCATTGTGAAAACATTGCAACAAACATTCAGATACTCTGACTCATTGTCCATTAGTTTAGTACTCAGACACACTGCTTTGTTGATCACTGTATATCAGTCTGCCCAGTATTTTTTTCATTTAATGACTTAGCTGTTTGATAGCCAATGACATACTGTACATGTGCTAATACAGTTCAAATAAACTGGAGTCCAGGAGAGTGATGATATCAGCAGTGTAAAACTATGTTCTTCTGCCTTCTGTCTTTGAAACGTGACCTCAGGAGCTCACAGTACAATATATAGGTTAGACTGTCTGGTTTAATGGATGACATGCAGTAGGAGGAGGTACTGTACATCTGGCTTGTGTTTTGTCTACTCATCGTAGCTGAGAATTCCCCCAGGGAGTCCTTTCATAGCTCGCTGTTCCAGTATAAAAAACCACACCAGACAGGGTCACTGTACAGATGTCAGCCGCACCAATTTAATGTCCACTGCTTACAAATCTACCTCGGTGCTCTGCAGAAGAAAAATCCTAACCTGTCAGGTGCACTTCAGAGTCACCCAAACAAGCTACTGAGAACTTTAATGTTAAAAGCCAAAGAAAACAGCGCTGTATCCCAGAAAACTTGGCTAGTTTTCACAGTTGTAAAAAGCTTGAGGCATTAAATGAGAGTCATTTTTGCAGCAGTAAAATTTCTTGCATTCATGACTCCTTTTCAGAAAGCAGATTTTGCCTCAGCTGATAAGAAACTGACTGAGACCAGAGCTGGCTGGAAATCTGACAGATACACACACTCATTCTGAGTAACCACAGGCAGCTGTGTGTGGGGTTGATTGTGATGACGCTTAGAAGCAACTAGGAGCTGGAGGAGCAGACAGTATAAGCACACCATCACACAAACAGTATACGGTTACATCCACTGACATAGACACCCTTATAAAAATCATTCAGGCCAGTGGAGGAAGAAACCACAAGTTAATGTGGAGGTTGTTTGGAGTAATATTTCTAAGGAGAAAGAAAAGATCTCTGTGTTCGTGTTTTTGCCTTGAACAGTGCAGGTAAATGTATTTATGCAATAGTTACTGTCTTTCCCACATTTATGGACCTGGAGCCCTTGGCCCACACCCCTGTCTGTTTGCTTGTCTGTGGCTCTACAGCCACAGCTGCTATACACATTTCCTCCTCCAACATGTGTATGACCATGTGTGTCTGGATGACCTGCAGTGGTAAACAGTGGCTTCCCTGCCTGTCACCGGAGCTCAGCCCCCTACTGAGCTCTCTGCCCACTTGCCAGTCTCCTTTAGCTCTGCTGCACACCTGGATGTGGACAGTGTGTTGAAACAGACCAGCACATTTTTGTTTTGTGTGTGTGCATACACATGCTGGTTTTTGGTGAAGATGGTTGATGGATATGTTTACTATAGTAATTCTGCCTTACAACCCACAATTTGAAGCTGCGTGTGTGTTTTGGAGAGTGGTACTCTGGATTATAAGTGATTTTGCAGAATCCTGTTCCCATTTGTCATTGGTATCAGTTGCGCAATTGCAAAACATATGGTTTTGTTTGAATCTGTGCGTTTGTGTGATGTAAAAACATGGTTAGGGTTAAAGATAAATTTGCTATCCATTTATGATACTTAAAACATCTGTTATGCAATCTAGATACATGCCATGTTTTTGTGGTCTGTTAAGACACATGCCATAGATTTCCTCATCTTTATTAAAGTATACTTTAGGATGTTCCTCTTAAGATTAAATGCAAGTTCTTCAAGTTAGTGGTACAAACAAGGCACCCTTTATAATGGAGTTATTAAAAATTAACAGATCCTTTGCAAATGCTTTATAGCTCTGTTACAAGCATGGATAGCATTTGTTTTGCCAAGTTATGAAAAATACCTTTGACTTTGTGTGTTTGACCACCTGTACAACAATACACTTATAAACAACTTGATGATTAAAACTCTTAATTAATGACTTATTACCATTAATACTTACAGAATGTGTGGGTTATTAAAAACTGAGACAAGTGTCAACATTTATAAATGAATTACTAACATTTATAATAGCATTATTACCAAATGCAAAGGATAAACACAAGCCAGTGGGATTTTAAACAACCTGGTAGACAACATTTGTTCTTATTGATGCATTAGTAATTATTTGATTTATTATTTTCAGTTGTGTTAAAGCCATTTGTTACAGCTTCATAACGGACACCTTGTAAAATGGTAAAAGTTGTGAGTTTAACATGAGTATTTGCACAGTTCAGTACTATGAGACCAGGCCGTGTTTCTCACATCCTCTCTTCTCTTCCCTTAGGAGAGCCCTCTTGCTCTGTACCATATTATACTGTACTTGTTACCCAGGACTTACACAAGTACACTCTGAAGGTAAGACATATCGTTGACTCGCCTCCATTCAGTCACTCCTCATTCTCAACTCTTCCCCTGTAGTGAACATTTCACAAGTGGAAAACAATCTGTAAAGCTCATTGGAGCACTGGGGGGGATTATGGAGTTATTATCTGCCTGTTGGTCATTGCCCAAGAACGTAAACACATTGCTATGAGAATTGGGCCAACTGTTGTCATGACAACAAGTGTTAAGCTTAGCTGAGTGAGCAAGGGAGTGATGAGATCACAGATTTAAAGCTGGCCAGAACAGAGAAAATGTATTCTCAAAACATGTCTGTCTCACTTGTCTGATTAACAGCCCTGACTAGACGAGAGTAGAGGTCATTGTTATAGACACAAGATATCCACTTAAAAATTCATAACTATTGCTGAAGCTCCTTTTTAGCAAAGCTTTTATTAGTCCAGCTGTTATCTAATCAACTTTTTATGCTAACAATCTTTCAAATTACAATATGACAGGGGTCACTTGTAATGATGTACTGTACAGTCAAATCTGCAGCTCCCCTCAGCTTTACAGTTTCATCTCAGTAGCTCCATTTCCACCAAAGAAAGATTATAAAGAAATATTGTTTTAGATGTGTTGTATTAAATCAGATTCACACTGTTCTTCCATTAGCTGTGCATTAGTAGCACTCAGTGATTCCAGATTTGGTTGGGTTTTTTTTCCAGTGGCATTTTTGTTTGACATGAGAAGTCTTTCTACCAAGTTCAGTTTGAGCTACTTCCTCCCCCAGGTCTAATTCCTTGATAACTACCAGTGGAACTAAGGATCAAATTCCTGCTCCAAACATAAAAAAAAATACTTTCCATGCAATTATATATTTCCAAAGTCTAAGGCCCCCGACAGTGATCTAATGAGGCAACCCCCATTCCAGCATCTCACCGAAGTCCTCACTCACTATGGCTCACCATAGCAGCAGCAGTTAGAACTTTCCATCTGTCTTTCCCCTCATCTTCCCCATTTTCTGTCATCTCATCAACATTGCTTGGCCACTTTTCTGTCTTTTCACAAGCGGGGCTTCTATACACATGTCCCCATTAGACAAGGCCCAGTAACCACAGGTCAGAGTGAGCCCAGGGACAATAAGGACAGTGAGGGGCCTAGGACTAACATCACAGGTCATACTGTATGGAGACACGCTGGGACCGCTGGGACTGAAACACTGAACAGAGAGTCAAAGACGACTGGAAGGCTGGAAACCACACTCTGCCCCCAGGCAGAGAGATGCTGCACTCACTCATGGTTGTTTTCTGAATGTCCACACTGACTCTATTGATGAGAAGAGAAATGGGGAGGTTGTCTGACGATGCTGATGTTCTTTGGTTCATTAATCCCCATAGCCTTAAAACAAAGAGGCCATGCCTTGTTGTCAGTGAAGCATTTCCAACACATATACTTTAACACATAATACAGAAATTTGATTTAATCTCCCTTTGCAGTTGTTAAAATGTGGCCACATAAGGCTTACATTTTAGTTTGAGCAGCTCCTGTAAGGTCTGCATAGCAATAAACATCCTGTGGCCATTTGTTGTGTGCATGCTTACTGCTGTTTTATGCTTCACCAGAGGCATGCAGTTAAAATGATGCCATAACTTACTATGCTGGAAAGAAGCATGAGGCTGCAAACCACTGACATTTGAAACAAAAGCCACCACAGTACTTCTGCAGCAGCTACCAAATCAGCCACTCCACTACCATCAGCTCAGTTTTAGTTCGGTCTGGCCCTATACATAGTCGTTTATTTTGGCCTACAGACGCAGTTTGGTGTCTTCAAAGCTCAGTGACTTTCTTTTTTGCTTCAACCATCTTTTTGAAGCCTGCAGTTTGAAAATTTCTTTGTGAACAGCTTCTGTGCTGGCTGAAAAATCACTGACATGATATATAAATGTGATGCTGATATGCGTGTCATGTGTGATTGCAAAACAAACTCCTTGTTATGTGTTTTTAACAGACTCTGAAAAAGGCTAAAGGCCAAAAGATGTTGATCTTAATTAAAATTGCTCTATACACTGCAAGCTGGACTTTTTCCCTTGTCTATGCACCTTGGCAGTGAACCCACTGCCAGAACCTTCTGCTTTGCCTTGATCACAAAACATAGACTGGTTTAATTTTGTTAATGGAAAGTTAGTGGAAAATTGGCTCATAAGAGAAATAGTATATCCAGTCATCAGTGGCAAAGATAACTAAAATAATCCTCTGAGCTTCATTTGTTTCAGGAGGAATCTCTAGAAGAAGGTCCTATGAATAATTTAAAGAATTTTCCCTCAGTTTGATGCTCTCATCCAAATCTGCCAACTGTAAATGTTTTTGTAATTGTTGCTCAAGTTCTGAATGTTATTCATCAGCAGAACTGGTAGTCTTTCTGTCCACTTTTTTCTGTGTTTCACTGCCAGTTGATGGATGATTTTCACAGAAGTATGATGAGTGTTATGTTTAGGGATGATACAGTTTGGTTGCACACAATAGCAGAAGTCCAGATGTTCACTGGGAAACCCATTGCCCAGCTGTGTCCTTACAATTGTTCTGCTGTTGTCCTGTAGTCAATTTTATTTTTCACAGATGCAAATGCAGCAGGATTATATATTTTCAGCCTTGTGATTACGGCAGAAAATATTTTCATTTCTGTATGTTGAGGAAAATAGTGACCCAGGATAAATAAAACAGAAGTGATGGGAAGGATAATCTTTTCAAACTTAAAATAAATATTACAATATACTTGCCAGTCACTTGTTATTGTTATTACTTGCACATCTAACAGCACTCTCTCTTTTATCCAGATGTGGACATCCTCCAGAAGTTGGGGCTTAAGGGAGAGAAGCCGTCTCGTTCTGTGCCAGCAGGGGTCATTCCATTCAGATCTGGGATCATCCTCAACCAGCGGGCACACATTGAGGCTCCATTGCGCTCAGTTTTCCCAGCAGCTGTCTGGCCCAACCTGGCCCTGATCCTGAGTGTGCGTTCACACCGTGTCAACAGCGCTTTCCTCTTCGCCCTGCTCTCAGGACGCAAGAAGCTCTTTCTTGGTCTGCAGTTTGTTCCAGGCAATCTGGTCCTTCACACAGGACCCAACAGTTCAGTTGCACTGCCCTATGAGCCCCATGATGGTCAGTGGCACCAGCTTGCAGTGGGGATTAATGGACAGAGAGTGACTCTATATGCCTCCTGCGGAGAGCAGAGTATTCATGCAGACTTTGGGTGGGACAGTGAGGAGGGACTGGCCCCAGAGCTCCAAGGCTCCTTCCTGCTGGGGTGGACAAGCCAGCAGCAAGCCTCACCACACTTTGAAGGAGCCATCTGCCAGTTTGACCTGGTCCCATCTGCACAGGCAGCTCACAACTTCTGCAGGTACATTAAGAAACAATGCAGGGAAGCTGACACATACAGGCCTAACCTTTCTCCCTTGCTACCCATTCTACCACGAGAAACCAACATCACAGCTACCGCTGCTACCCCTAAACGTGGTAGCCTGGAAAAATCCAGGAAGTCTACAGGGCTGAGCTTTGCCAGGACTGCTGCTGCTGCAGCATCAGCTGTCAGATATGTGCCCTCCACCCAAACAATAAAGCCCAACCCTGGGATAAATCCTACACCCCTACAGGGAACTGTCATGCCAGTCACCGTGCAGCTTGGTTTGGCCTACCCATCATCTCCCAAGGTCAGGACCAAAACTGTCACAGCACCACTCAGGACAAGAGAATCCCCCACAAAATTACCAACCCAAACACCCTCTACTTCTAGAACTCCATATCAGAAGCCCTCTAAACCTACTGCCCCCACCCCTACTCCTCATAACAGCCACAAAGAGACAATTGCAGGAACAGATAATAAGAAAAAACCTATTATTCCAGCCACTGCCAGCACCAAGTCCTCCAAGACAAAGCTTAACTCTGCCTTATCAGATCAAGATGCAGTCCCAAAAACACCACAACTCACAGCAGTCAAGAAAATACCTTTCAAGCCTAATGTTGCACCATCCAAAGCCACTTTGTCTAAACCTAAAACAAATTCTGTAGTTCCTTCTAAACCAACTTTATTCAAAGTCAACCCCTCAAAATCAACAATCCCCAAAACTACAACAGCTAAAACCTCCAAGTCAGTCTCCAAACAGGTCACTAAGCCAACAAAACAGGCCAAAATGACCAAGGCTCCAGACACCCCGCAACCTACCAGACCTTCATACAACACAGTAACACCACCTGCTACTGATGGTTTCCAGAGCTGGGAGGTGCCACCTACTCAGTTCTCCCTGCTGACTGGACCTCTAGGACAGAAAGGAGAAACAGGCCCATGGGTAAGAACCTAGTCTCTTGGGTTTGTTTGTGTGTGTCTTGAGTGTTTTGTGTGTGTACCACAAAAAAATGTAGTACATTTTATAACATTTGCTCTTAAGTACTCTCATTTGACTTGGATCAAGGGCGAGCTATGACTACATGCTTTAAGGATGTAAGGTCAGACCACAAAGATAAGACAGTTAATTTGGCCTTAACTCCTTTCCCACCCAGGTTAGAAATCCATCTTTTTCTCCCTCCTCCCTTGAGGCTGGGTGTGACGTGTCAGATCTGACGCCTTGTCGCCTCTGCACTAGATTCCTCGGTCATAGAGGTCTAGTGGAAGTCACATGCTAGGTCATGGGTCAAAGTAGTCAGTAAACGCCTTCATTCAGTTCCCAGTGCAGGCACTAAGGTATGCTAGGCCCATACTACACCAGGGGAAGTGGGAACACTGAGGCAAGGAATCCACTTTCAGTCTTTGCATAGATTTCATTTCACACCTGCCATCACAGAGAATCTGATCTCTGACCCACTGTTTGAGATCATTTTTAGCTTTGCTGATGTTTTTTTGTCCAAAGCCATGTTTTTAACTAGACAAATCATCTGGGAGTTTTTCTGTGTCAGCTAAACAGACTTGACTACACAGTTTTTCACCTCTACATGTGGCCTGATCAATCAGATCTCAATGTCTTCTTAGTATATTTGGGATATGCTTGTACCTGTATTTAAAACTACCCTTGTGACTGGGTCATATTACTGTAAAGTGTGAGCCAGGCCTGCATGTTTGTATAGAGGTCTGTAATTTTGTTGCTGTAGATTGCAGAGTTCAGTGTGTCTAGGTTTGGCTAATTTACCCCTGTGTTGATGTCCACAACACACTTGACCACCATTACAGTCAAACCAAATTACTGGCATTTAGAAAGAACAACCTACAGTCTCAGTGAAGCGCTGCAATCTAGGATAGAAGAGACTATGGAAGGATGATTAAGGGAAGTTCATTTACTGAAGGACTGTCTGACACATACTACACTGAGTCCAAAAAACCTTCGTCACCTTATGGCAAATATGGTATGATAATATACACCAATCTGAGAGCAGTGACACAAAACGGGGTCTAAACAGCCTACCATATAAAAGTGAAAACCATCACTAACAAAAACCTGTAGTGCGTGGCCAAGTTATGGCCTAGGAGTATGCAGAATTTCTTTGCAGGTTAGACACAGTCTTAGGATAGGGTAGGACATGTTTGGCTGGATGTATTATTTATTGTGAGCATGCTTGTCTTCATGTGTGTGTGCGGGTATTTGCACACATGACGTGTGTCTGTGCCACCATGTAATGCGCTGGGAGATCTCTTATTAACCCAGTCACACTTCCTTTTTAGCATGTTTGGATGCCATAAACATCCCATGTCATGTGTATACTCTGTCTAGATTCCTTCTCACAGCACAGTCTTGTACACACATACACAGCCTGAAGCTGATAAAGTGTTAACTTCACTGAGGTTTCAGTCTTTGTCATTCATCACTCTTGCTGTCTAAAGCATTATAGAGTGCTATACTGAAAAACACAATAGAAGCAGGATCTGAGCTTGTGATTCCACTGTCCAGAAGCTGCACTCTGTGCACCAAGAAAAACATCCAGTGCAGGCACAGATATGGCACAGCTCCCCCTCCTCACATCTGCTTTAAAAATGATCCCCTTTGAGACCTGCTCCGCTGCCCACCTGAATGTGATTTACATGTTCAGAGCTTGTGCTGTATGTGATAGCTGAAAGTCAGAGTTGACATTTTAATCTGATCAGTTTTTATGCCTCTGTGCCAGCGACAACCACGGCCGGAGGCATTATGTTTTCTGGTTGTCTGTCTGTCCGTCGTATGTATGTATGTCTGTACAGCTCATTCTTGTGAATGCGATATCCCAGGAAGGCCTTGAGGGAATTTCTTCAAATTTGGCACAAATGTCCATTTGAACTCAGGAATGAACTGATTAGATTTTGCTGGTCAAAGGTCAAAGATCAGTGACCTCACTTCTGCCTCATACCCATTAATCTGAATGGTAATTCTAGTTAAGCAAAGACACTGGCTGTGAGTTCCAGTACATTTAAATTTGAAGTGAATATTTTAAAATGTCTTGCATATCTTGGTCTCTGTATTCAGATGAATTGTACCTGTATTTAAAAGCTGCCACAATTAAAATGTTTAAGCAGTTTAATTTGAGATTACAGCACAAACAGACCATATTTTTTTAAGCTTTGATACAATTGCTTTTACAGCTCACAGCAAAGCTCATAATTCAGATTCAGCTGTCAGGGGGTACAAATCATACCGTAACTCCCTCACAGACAAAACCAGCAAGTCTAAACCTCATAAATGAAAACAGACTTAGTCATCAGACTGTGTTTGAAATGTGGTGAGTAGAAAATACTTGCTGATGTGAGGTTTTTGTGAGGCTGTGACCAACCTGTCTGTAGAGCCTGTTCTCAGAGAAAAAAGGATATGAAAGATGGACAGGTGCAAAGGAATAAACAAACAAGGAATAAGGGCCAAAGCAGAAGGTGGATGTGTGAAGATGGACAGGAACATGTGTTGATGCTGACAGGTCCGTAGGCCACCAGAGAACACACCACCTGTAACATTAGGGGTGGTCTCAACTGGGGAGGCTGTTCTGGAAGATATGGTGTGGGTCCAGTTACAATCATCAGGGCAATATAAACCAGTTCTCAGACTGATTGTTTTTTTGAAGCTGTGCTTTGTCTCTTAAAATTCATAAACTTATGAAAATTGAACTACATACATTCACACACCAATAACAGCAGTTTATAGTAGATGCTGCTACTTCTTTTTACTGTCTTCAGATCTACATATCACAGGCATGAAATGTAGCATAGCAAAATACTGTAATGCATTTTACAGTAAACTAAATATTTTACAAATGCATTATGGAGACTTTAACACCCATTTACATCTGGATTTGAGTCCCCATAGGGAAGCTCTTGTTGGGCGCAAGTGCTCTGCTTTTCCTCAGTGCTCTTCTTTTGATTAAAAGAAAGCGAACGAGTACAGGGCAGATAAAGCCGCACAGGGCCACAGAGTGGCACAGCACATTACCTGTTATTTCTAGTGTTTTTATGGTTTCCTGCTACACAGTCTCAGATCTTTCTAGCAGTTAAAGCTGCGCTCTCATCACCTGGAAGTAGAATTACTTCAGAAGGAAAAGGAATCACTGTTTACCTTGTAGCCATTGCACACTCTGTGGAAAGGAGTCTTAGTTTTATTGCTTAGATATTTAATAAGATCATTTATATGGTATTTGTAAATGTGCAACACTGACTGAATGCTCTCTGTTCCCAGGGACCACCAGGACCTCCAGGAAAGCCAGGCCTGCCGGGCAAGAGGGGTCCTCGGGTAAGGCTCCTTGTTTGCTATCACATAACTTCAGCCACATCAAACACACTTTTATTTCTAACCCTAGAAATGCTTTTTCGGGGGGAGGGGTCGACTCCACTGAGTTTTTAATGCAGCCATGTTAATGAGAGTCTATATTAAGGTTTATTGTGGACCATATTGTCGGTGTGTGTGTGTGTGTGTGTGTTTGTGTGTGTTTGTGCTTTTGCTGCTGGGCTGCGAGCGCTGACCTCCCACCCCTAAGCATAAACAGGAAAGCTCATATAAAGACAGCCCTTCAAGGGGCTGCCTGTGTCACAGGATGCCTAATAAAAGCACTGTAAACAGTCAGAGAACACATGGCTCCCCTGGACTTTCTTCTCCACACTGAGCTGTTACAGCAGGCTGCACAGCACTTCATAGGAATCACATTTTGTACTAATGAAAGGCCTCTTTCTCCAAGCTAGTTAAATAGATATAGTCTCAGTTGTGTGTCTTCTTTCAGGATTTTTTCTGCACATCCTCTTTTTTTCTTCTGTGCCTGATGTAGAGATTCGGTTTGACACGTGTTGTGAGCATAGCAGCAATGATAGCATAGATGGCAATGTTGGCCCACTGCTTTGGTCTGACAGTCACAACTAAGTATCTCACTAAATAGTGGACAGTTTTGTGTGGTACAGAAAACACCACAGTGCAATAACTTATACTGTAGGTGCAATCATTTTTCATACCAAAGAGGTCATTTTTAACTCTATATATGACCATATTTATCAGTAAATGTTTGTTTGTTTTATTGTTTTTTTTTTACTTGTTATTCTGTTTTCTTATCCTGTTTTTCACAAACTCATGTCCATATTGTTTCCTTTGGGACACATAAGAATGTGGTTTCAATTTTAAATAAAGGTGACTTGATCACAGAAATAATTAATTCCACGTTTGAATTTACGTTATTTACATTTACACTGGCATTGTATTACTTGATCATACGTATCTTCTTCTATTAATACATTAATAAACTAAATTCCAGCCACAGGGTTGAGTTGTATGATGGCACACAAAACACCATTGAGCACACCAAGCACCGTACATGAACCTTGACCTCTGATCCTACATGTGTGAGTGTGAGACACTGTTGTTATGGCAACCGCTATCTGAACAGAGGCCTCGACTGACTTGTCAGAGAACAGTCAAGGCGAGCTGTTTTGAGTCTGTAGGTGTTTAATGACTACAGCGGTGGAAGGGTGTGAGGAAATGTGTGGTGGATGCATCATGGGTGCACAGGCCTGTATCCATCTGAGGAGTGACTGCATGGGCTTGTCTGGAGCCTGCTACATCAAAAGGGTCTTTATCTGAGTAAAAAAAAAAATCTCCAGACTATTCTTTAGTTTGTTATTTTCTGTAATCCCCTTTAATACATTTTTAAAACCATATTTTAAATGTTTGGCATCAAGTCAGCTTTAGGATTTCATCATAATTTTCAAACTTGTCATGACCTTTATGAACTATTACTGTTACTCTATACAGTAAAAACTCTTTAGATTGTTTATTTTTTTCATGTGCATGATGTATTTAACTCTCAAAACTTTGGTTGGCTTTTTACCCTGTATGCTTCTGTTATGAGGAAGTTTTACGTGGCATTGTTTTTGCTAACGCTACTCTTTTCACTCAGCGATGACAAGGTGTGCTTTTGAGACTATAACTAAGATTCAAATATTTTCCTAAGTCTGAATCCCGAGGGGCAAAGTTTCTACTGTGCATGTGTGTTGACTTTAGTTACAATGACATCCAGTGGTTTCACGTGTTCTCTTGATCTGATGATGGTTAATCAGACATTGCCCCTTCAAATCTCATTTGGCACAGCATCATACAGAACCTCTTTTATCCTTAATACAGCGACTGTATATACATTTGAACTGTTTATACAAGCTAGTGTTGAAAGCCAGATTTTGTTTACAGCATAGTCCATTAAACAGGCTCAAGGGAATGTAACCTTGGAAGTGATGTATCTATATTTAAGATCCACAAGTACATGTTTGGTATTTTTGGTTTTAAGTGCACATATGATGTTTATGTAACATTTTGTTGATTCAAGCACTGATATTTATGTACTTCAGAGCAGGCAGAATGAATATTACCATAACATGAAACATTAGGAGCTATTATTCGTATAGATTTTGGTCTGAACTTAGAAATGGTATGACCTGCACAGCGCTAGCAGTATTATCGCCACAGGAACCGCAGTAACGCCCTGCTTCGCTGTTCAGAGGCTGGTGGTTTTTCATTTGATAGCCCTCAGCTTGTGTGCACCCCACCCTGGTCTTCTTTAATTAGACACCTGTTTTGAGTGAAAGAGACGTGACAAGGAGGCAGAAGCACATGACCAAGTGCTGGTGCCAGCCCGTGCCTACCAGTGTACTGCGGCAAACCGCAGGGTTAATTTTGAAGCATGTAATTGAAACATGTCTAGTTTGTTTAAGGTTATTTAGGTCACAACAACGTCCCTGGACATAGTAACTCTTATGAGAACGCCAGCTGCATACAAACCAAAAATGACAGGGGAAGATAGTGTGGGAGGACAACTTGTGAATCCTTGGAATGACCATATCTTGCATGTAAAACATAAGTTAAAAACCAACCAGGTTTTGTAAATATGTCAGATCTTATCAGAAGTGTATTTTTGCCATTAGTCTTTTTGGTAATCCTGTTCAGTGATTCAACACGAGATAACAACAGATTTATGCACACCAATTGCAGCAGTGTCCTGTCTCAAATGAATCAGACATGGCTGTAATGAAAGCACCCTTTGATAACAGCAGCAGTTACACCAAAAGTCATTTATGTTGTCATGTCTGCACCTGACCAGTATGTCTGTTTCTGAACTTTGCTCAGAGGGCTTTTTTTGTTGAGTTTTATAACCCAGCCCAAACTCCACATCGCTTTTTTTTTTCTCTGAGGGATAATAGAGAATTGCCTGTCCTTATGAAAGTGGATGTATTTTTTGACATGCAGGGCAGATCACTAACTTAAAGGCTTCCGGATTTGTTTTGACTCACCTCAGTGAAACTCACGGACCCTTCTCTTAAAGCAGTTTAGATACTTTTTCCACCCTCTGACTTTGTCTCCACCCTTATCCTAGTACACAGGAGAGGGTTAGGGGCCTGAGGGTGCTACACCACATGGAGGGCACTCAGACAAGACAAGGTAGACAGACGGATACAGCAGATGGGTGGCGGAGACATAGCAACACACCCCTGTACTCCTGTCTGATGGCTGCTGTTTAAACCAAAGAAAAATTGGCATTGATGTATTCTCTGGCTTCCAGAGGTGCTCTGCTTAAACCTCCCCATGGGGGCTGCTGGACAGGCTGAGGTGGTTCACATTTCCAGTACACTGCTACTGTAGATCTCACAGTTTGCTTCCAGATGCTGTATTCATTTCCTCTTCAACAGGCACTGTGGACAGAAGGAATATAAAATGTTATGAAACAGGATGATCTGCAGTAATCATTAAGATGCTTGGCAAGTGTGTGTTTGCGTGTGTGTGTGTGTGTGTGTGTGTGTGTGTGTGTGTGTGTATGGGGGGAGGTTGTGGTGTGTGAAACAACACGCTGCAGGAAAACCACATCCATATGGTTAAGCATCTCCAGAGAGCCCCATTTTCCATAAGCTTCTACCCCCATCGCCAACCCCAAAAGTTGTACCCCTCTCTCTTTCTCTCTCTCGCACACACACACATACAGAACTGATATATAGAAAAACAGGTTAAAGTAGCATAAAGGCTGAGGTTCTCCAGACAGTCCCTGCCCCCGCCTTTCTCTACCTGGTCTTATTCACTTTAGAACAAAGTCAGGAACCAAATTCCACACAATCTCAATCATAATATAAAGATTGATTTAGATCTTGATCACCTTTTGATTATGTTTTCTTCTTTCTGTCTTTTCCAAAGGGTGACCCTGGTCCCCACGGAAACCCTGGCCGACCTGGTCCACCTGGACTCAAGGTATCCTACCATACACACTTATTCATAAATGCAAATGAGCCCTTTTCCCACCAGGAGTCCAGTGGCCACATTAATTATTCCACATGAAATGATTACACGAGTGTATACCAGACTTCTCTGCTAATTTAATACAAAATGTTATTATCTTCTCTTGCCTCTGACTTGAATGACAATGCTGTGAAGATGTTACATGTTTATTTTTTTTATATCAGCTTGAATCCATAATGTGATGTAGTTTTGTTGTTGAAAAATCATCTACATTCACAACTTGCAGCCACATCTGTCAGTCTGAGACATTATGACGACTGCACTTAATACTGAGAAACTGTAACACCTTAACGTGTGTGTGAGACGTAGATGTCAGTGTAAGGATTCCTCTTTATACTTCAGGTTTTTAAGGGCTTTCAGAATCTTATAGATATGTTTGATTCAAGTTTTGTGTGTTGACCAAATATTTTTAAGTTGTACATGAAGTGGTGCATTTATACAGTAGGCCATCTGAGTATTAAATGAATGCTAATCTTTGTGCTTCCATTGCAACCTGAGGTAGGCAGTAAGAGGAGGGAAGGGCAGTTTAACACCAGAGGATAAAGTTTACAAGTCAGAAAGTCAAAGTGCCAAATAAGTCTGTCTAGTTTTAACATGTGAAAGTTAGTGACCATGCCCAAGACAAATTCTCTGCGTTCCTCATCTGATTGTCTGGACTGATGTATGCCTTCGCAATCACCCTTGACCTCTGCTCAGAGTACATAGTAAGGACCCTTCAAACCTGTATTTAAAGTGCAGTATTAAAACACCTTACAGTACATAAATGGCATCTATGCTCACACCTGCGCAGTGCCATCACCAGAGCCTTGAACTTCTAAGATCACCCAGAGGGACCATTTCCAGTTTTTATGTAAAGCTGAATAAGCACTTTCCCGAGTACTATAGCCATTTAATGCAAATCATACTGCCTTAAAAAAAATTCATATAAATTAAATACTACAAATGGTAAATTGGGATATGAAGTTAGGTTAGTTATATACTCTACCATTCACAAGTTTGGGCACACTTTATACAAACATGCCAGACACAAAAGCACTATAGAAACACCAAATGAGTGGGACAGAGTGGAGTAGACATACTCTACAATGCAAACATTTGAAACCCAGCCTCAGCTTTGATGTGTTGGAGCCCCATTATTGTTACCTGCCGACAACAAATCTTGGTGTGTGTGACTGGAGGGGCGCTGAGCTCATAGAATGCACGGTGGCCCTCTGAAACACGTGTGCCAGTTTTTTGTCAGTGACATGATCAAACCTCATTTTTATCAAATGAAGCAATCCTATCTAAGAGGTAATTCATAGAAGCAAAGCCTTTATAGCATTAACCTTAGTCCAAATGAAAGGTGGGGCGAGTGAAATTATTTAGTTAATGGAATTCTTAGTCCGATACTTTCAGAGACTGTAGTCACGGAGGTGCAGTCATTTTCACTCATAAAGTCCTCCTTTGTGTTTTTTGTCTGACAGGGGAGAAAAGGAGACCCCGGCATCTCACCTGGACCAGCACCCAAAGGAGAGAAGGTATTACATCCCTCATTTTCTTACATTAACAGTGACATGCATGGCAAACGTCAGGTACATTTAAAATTGTTATTTATGCAGCCAGGCATTTTTACATTACATTTTTGCTGTATGTTCCAGGGAGACTCAGGGATTATTGGCCTGGTTGGACTGACTGGCCCAGCAGGTCGAAGGGTAAGGCTGAATAGTTCAGATCCCTTCAAAACTTTCTTGCAGTGATATAAATAAATTTAATGTTTTTAAATACTGGTCATAAGAGCTCCTATTTATGAGCTGATGCTGTGAGTGAGCACTGTGCTTACATCTGAAAACTTGTTTGGCAAAGCCCTGAAAAGAAGGTTTGCATGAGTCACGGACACCATTTGATGATGCTTGTGTTTATGTATTGTGTAATATTTTTATTGCATATCTGTTTGTATGTAACTCACCCATCTTTTTAAAGATTTCTACTTGTCTCCTCCTCCTTAATTCTCTTCATCTCTCCTCCTTTTTTGCTGTGCTTGCCATTTCTTGCATCTATGTTAGCTGGATCCTGCACAGACGGGTCTGAATGTTTACAGGAAGTTTGTCATGATGGACAAAGCCAAAGGTTTTTGAGAGGACTGGGATCAAACAGTCACATGTTCATACACAAAACTACCAGTGTTTTAGAAGTTACATAAGTTGCAACTTGAATGATGCGTCAGTGTACTGTAAGGAAGAAAAAGTGGAACAGGGCTTCTGGTAGACAGGAGTGGAACATGTACACCAAGAGTCAGTCCAAGGGAAACATTTGATATGTGTATGTTTCTGATTATGTGCACGCATTTCTACATACTTGACATCAGTTTGTTAAAAACTGCTGCTGTTGCCATGGAACATGTGGACAAATGTTAGGGTAGCTCAGCTAATATGAAAAAATAGACTATGTGATAATTAGTTAGCAATTGAACAACAAAGTCTAAAAGGTTTAGTAGAAATGGTTGAAATAGATCAAAGTAAATGTAATGAGTGAAATGTCAGCTAAAAGTAAATAGTTGAAACTGTTTATATACAGTTAGCCTGCGCCAATGGGAAAATGGTTCAAACAAAAAGCTGCATTAACAGTTAAACAGTTAAAATAGTTAGATAAAAGCAGAACTGCGACCCCATTCAGAAACAGGCGGTATAGATAATGGATAGATAAAAGCATACTGTATATGGATGAGTCCTGAATACATGGCAGAACAAATGTCCTGCTTCTGACACTCAAGGTGTAGCAGGAGGACAAATGCAGTTAACCAAACTAACATAAACTTAAGTTCAGTTTTATAAAAACATTATTGCTTCATATAATATTGTTAAAAACATCCAGTTTAAAATCAGTGGAAACAACCACATTTGGCTGATGATGTCATTGAGTCCACCTGGCAGGGCTGGGAGGGTACATCTGCAAAAATTGCTGGAAAGCAGTGGAGTATAGAAGATCATCACCACAACTTGTTTGTCATTCAGAAAGTGCTCTCCAGGTCAAAACGAAACTCATCTGTTTCATGTTTTCCCAAACAGTCACATGTAAACAAATGTCTCATGGTGGCAGAAGATCTCATTAATGGATTTCAGCCACATTGTGGATCAAATAGAACTGAACCTTACACATATTTCAAACAAAGTAGAAGAATGAGCAGCACAGAGGCACAGTCACTTAGTTGCGCATTAGGAGAAAGACATCACACACCCATGTCTGGAAACTTGCTGCCATAGCAGCTTCATCAACACTCACTCTGACATTATGAAAGCATGCCTCAGGTATCGGTCAGTGAACCACAGACATGATGACTGTGGAGGAAACTTGTTAAATTAACCACAAGGAGTCAGCAAAACACAAAGAGGCTTGTTAAACCATTTTCATCCTGTGCTAAGCAATGTACAGTAGCTTCTTTTAGTCCTCAGCTGTGCACTACACTGTTGCTTTTAATAATTCTTAAATCTGCCATGTCTTCAGATTGCATTACTATGACTGAGGTGTGAGTCAGTGTCCAAACTGTGATGACCATGTCTCGAAACAGTCAGTGTTGTGTTCTTTACTGGTCTGCTCAGGTGGAGTGTCTCAGCTGTTTCCTGTCCTGAGGCAGGTCTCTCCACTGAGACCTAGTGCAACATTAGTACAATGCTGGAAAGCAGTGATGATTCTCATTGCAATTACGTTGCAATGGCGGGCCACCCTGAAACACCCATGTGCTGTTTCTTCCTCTTCCTCTCTGTTTGACTCGCTCCATCTCACATGCCTGGCTTGCTACCATGAAGCTGTGGTTTAGGAAAAATTGGACAACGGCATCTTTTCCTCTGTATTTTCCCCTTTCACCTTCTCCATCTTTAACACACGCTCACCTAAATACACACATTCAGGCTCTAAATCAGCCTCAGCCTGACACTTTGACCGAGAATTCTGGAATTTTTCCTGTCAGTTTTCCATGGAAAACTAATGGAGAAAGCAGAGGTGCTTTGAATGTGTTGTAGGAGAGTGTGATTTTTCAACAGCGGACAAGCCAAGCATGTTCTACTCTACAACATTTATTCTAAAAAGCAGATTCTGAATGGCTTTTCAGTATGGCAGGCAGGGTCAGGAAGAGGGGACACACAGTGCCAAACCACAACTACAAGGCCACATTACAATCCACACGCTTTACTTTACTTCTTCCATCCTTTTTTCTATGTATATTCTGAATGCATGTTGATCTGTCTCTTCTCACTTTTTGTCTTTTCTACATCTGGCTTTCCTACTACCTCAGCCTTTTCTCCATGAAAAACACTGTCTACTGGCAGTGTAACTTAGCTTTCGGTTGCAGGATTTTAAATACATATTTATACAGTTTTTGACTCTTTAGTTTATTTTCACCAGGAAATAGAACTTTGTGTAAAACTATAAATTCTAACATGTCTATTTGTTGTGTGGGTCTATTACTATTGGTTATAGTAGGTAAGATATTGACATACTGTTCTCCAGGATGTGTTACGTTCTCTTAAAGCTAACGAAGCTAAATTTATTTGCACAAACATCATGTTGCCATCAGAGCATATTTTAAGCTTAACAAAGATTAACAGTTAAAGAGCTCAGTTAGAAAGTCAGTTAGCTAGACAGCAGCTAATCCCTAAACACTCCTGTAGACCCTGTGGTTAGTCTATACTAAACCACAGGGGAAATACAGCTGTCTTGTGGCATATTATGGTGGAGTCTTGCTTATACGAAGTATCTACATGTGTTTATCACATACAGTTTGTGCCGTACATACATGTGTAAGGGTTTTAGGGTCACATTATGCATAGACCATCGTTAATTTGCATTCCCTCTTTTAGCACACACTTAAAAATGTAAATACACAAGTGTACTGAAAATGTATGCTCATAGTTTTACAGATATTTTTCCTTTCAAACTAAGTCCAAACCATAGTTATCCTAACAAGAACACAACATGGAGAAAAAGTAGAATGATATACGGAAACGCCTCTGCAAATTTCTATGCAGTGTGGTCTGTTGTATAACATTAATCTGTTTGAAGACCCCTTCCAAACCAGCTTTCCCTGTCTAGCTTCTGCCCACTGTTCAAACTAACAAATCCTCATGCTGAGGCATGATTATTGCAATTAGGAGAGAATTCAAGTCAACCATAATTTTGTTTGTGTTTCACAAGACATACAAATCATTGATTGCTCTGTCTTCCACTGTGCTAGTAGTTTAATAGTGATACTGCATTGCAGTTCAGACAGGGATGAGATGAGGAATGCTTTTCCACTGGGTAGATTTCAACCAATTTGTCTAGTTATGTTCATGCAGTTGTTTGTTACCTCTGTCTCTGCCAGACATCCACATAGAAGGTTTATGTTCTGCTGTACATGCAACACATGCATGGAGCCAGATGACTGCTCAGAGCAATTGTCTGGCTCCATGGTGTAGAGTGACTTTGGAAAGAGAAAGTTGGAAAGCTGAAAGCAGAGATTAATAATGTGAGTGGTATATTTCTACCAGGGTGCAGTCCAGCAGAGGCACATTCATCATTTGCGGTGTATTGTTGTTAACAGACATGGGACCCATGCTCATTTGAACACCCACAAAGTGTGTATAGAGAGTTGGTAAGGAGTCAGGGAAATTATATGTCATCGGCAAACACAATCTGTCTTTTATTTTGTCTCTGCCAAAAGGGGCTTAGTGGTCCTGGGGGCATTCCTTGGCTTAATGGGGTAGGATTGGTGTTGGGAGGGTGGGTGGTTGGGGAACTTACAGGGTGCTATGGGAGAGCTGTTGTAAAAGAAAAGTATTCCTTTGGGTTTCTCTGATTGAACACATGTTTGTTAAATAAGTGGCACCGTAAACATAGGCAGACCTTTGGGAGTAGCCACTGTCATTTACAGGCTCATAATGAGTGAGATAAGGATCCGATATGACTAGCAGAGGTTGGGAGGCTATGAGGCTTAATATCCACAGGGTGTGCATGTGTGTGTGGTGGTGGGGGTGCTAGTGGACCTCACAGCACTACAGCCTCTACACATGTTTGTGCTATAAGGGATGTAATAACATGATTGTGTATGAATCTATACAGAATGTGCAGGTCTGTGCATATGTGTATATACAATGTATGCACACCTGTATATGTGTTATGCCACAAGAAAGGCATCAGGTCACTACATCTGCTGCAAAGACATGTTAGGCCAAGAAGTGGATTGAAAACAGGAATTAACCTTAAACAATGTCAAACTGATGGCAAATAGCCACATAAACAGGGAATATTTAGATTCAGTCACAGCGCAACAGGCCACCGTCATGAAGCCTTAATTTATCAATGGAAATTAATCACCCTAACATCAGGCACATCCATCGCTGTTCTCTCCACAACACCACCTACCATATGGGCTTTTATAAAAATATGGAAAACACACGCTGTTTCAGCACAGCAGTCTGTCCACATGTGGTGACATGTTTGTTTGTTTTATGTGTATTACTCAAGTAATTTCAGCCCAGCTTAAAGCATCACCTCCTAGTGGTCTTTTGACAATGTGCAGCAGTTGATGTGAGGTCATAGGCAAACTGAGAGGTACTCCAAAATATTGCTGGATATTTCTTAGTTAAAGAAAGAATGTTTAACAATAAAGTCTGTACAAAAAAAAGTTTAGCTGAAAAAAATGAATTTTTATTACTTTTAATTGCAGTATTGCAAAACAAATATGTTGCTGAAACAGCTGCCACATCTATGAAAGTCCTGAATTTGAAGTATAATGCTGATAACTGCAGTTGCTATTATGAAGGTGTAAGCCATTGAGAATGACTATGTAACATATAGTATGAGTAGAGAGATGCTGCGTCCAGTTGCCATCAGATGACAGAGCTAAAGGATAGTTTATAGGAACTCTGAGAGTCTTGGCACCCTGGGGCTGTGGTTTAGGAAAACGGGACAACAGGAGTCTTTCATTTCTTTGTACTTCTGTTTTTATTTTGTTTTTTTCCATCTTTCCTTTCCTCTCTCTCACTCACAACAAACTGTGGTCTGGAAAGGCATGTCTTCCCACCTTTGATTTAGTTTTTCTCCACTCTTTGTGGAGGTATGTGTTGCTGGAGTCAGCAGAACTGTAGAAACACACTAGGTTAGGCTGTCTACAGTGTTGTAGTCTGTTCTGGAAGCAGAGGCAACGACCTGCTATCTGACTCAGACAAGAAGGCATTTATATCCTCGACATGTCATGATCCCCACATGGCCTCCCCAGCACAGTTTGTGAGCACAGCCGGTGGAAAGCTAGGTTTTTTGACGAGAGTGCAGATTCATTCCTTGCATATGGCATGGCACTTAACCTGTTTGTCTGTGCTGTTAGCGTTGACATGCATACTGTAGGTCTGTTTATGTTTTCCTTGCCTGTGGTCTGTGTTAAAATGTATGTCTTCTGTCACATCTCCATTAACTCATTTTGTCTCTTTAGGGACAGAAAGGTTACCCTGGTCCACCTGGACGTCCTGGAGAACCTGTAAGTATTCTCCATTTCACAGCTACCTTTTCCCCACTGTGGGATCAATAAAGTTCTACCTACCTACCTACCTACCTACCTCATACGGCCTTAATACTCCCTAAATGTTGTTGACCCATACTTCTGCTGTTCTTCACACTTTTATCAGCATCACACTTCTGTATCTTTCAGCTCACGCCAAGAGGATGTCATCTTTTTCTCTAATATTTTAGTGTTTGTCATTCATTTTCAAATTCCTGTCAGCTCTTTGTTTTTTACTCAGACATATCTCATCCCTCTACCCGATGCACACCCCATTACCTGCACTTCAGAAATTTGCCTTGATGAGTGTCTAAGTTTTGTTATTGTGGTGCTCACCATCGTGGCCCTAATCCTTCATACTGTCCCCTTATTTCTGAGTCCAGGTGTATATGTGTGTGTTTATGTACATGCACCACGCATGCCTGCACAGAGAAGCCAGATTAGATTAGCCTCTTATGAAGCACTGGTGAAGACAGACATCTGGCTAAAGTGCTGTGATGCAGCGATGCTCTCCAGGATATCAGTAAGTGATGCCAAAAGGAGAGAAACTAGAGAGAGGAGAAGAGAAAGAGCAGCAAGCCAACTAGGCCAACTAGGCCAGCAGTGACACACTCGCTGCTATTACACTGAAGCTTTGTCTGACTTTCCTTCTCTGGACCTTATCATTCAGTGTTCAGTCTCTCCCTTTTACACCATTTTACCTCGACTTGTACTCAAGCAGGAATTTAATTTCTCTTACAGTTCCTTCTTTCTGCCCATCTTACTTTAAACTGAGGAAATAAGTTCAATGAACCCTTTTATTTGCTGCTACTAGAGGGAGGAGATGTGACTCTGACTGTTTGGACCAGCCCCAAAGCCTCATGTCCAAGGCTATTTTCAGTCAAGCTGGGTCATACTACTGTTACAGTAATATTAAGGAAGGACCTTAGTCATGGAAAGATGAGTGGAACATTTTCCTCACTGTCACACAGTTTGAAGTCCCTTTTCTCTGGGGTGACGTTTCCAGCACAGGGAGTTCCATTACTACTCATCATCATTACACTGAAGGAGTACTTTTCCTCTCTCACTGTCATGTCCTTCCACTCTGTCCTTCCTCAAACGCCCCCCTGTTTCCCACAGAGCCAGTGCTGATCATCATAGCCACAGCCTTGGGTCTGAATCACCACAGCAACAATTTTGCACAACTCTTTGGCAGCGTGAGAGCAAAGGCCAGCTGGTGTGCTTACAGTGTTAATCACTCTTTGTTACTGTAATACACCGTGGGCCATGCTGAGAGAACCCTCAGTGCTGTTGGCCAGTTGAAAGTCTGGACTTCAGCCAAATTCTTGTCTGGATTTAACTGGCTGCATTATGCACTATATTTATCCAAGAGAGGGAATGGCAAGCAGTAAGCGTGGCTGCACATCTCGAGTGCGTCAAAGGAAGTTTTACTTGCAAATTTTAGTGTATCTTATGCTCAGACACACACACACGCGCACGGCCTTCATTAAATTTTAGATTAAAATAGATTACTGTCAATATAATGAAATACAAACATCACCAAAGTGTATATAATAAATACATAGAGATTAATTAGCTTGTCAGTAATAGTAAGAAGGGATTAACTGTTATGTACCGAGTTAAAAAAAAAAAAGAGTCCTGCGTATTGATTTATAACATTACCACTTCAGATATTAAAGGAATAGCTACCTGTGAAAAAATATGGTATAAATGTATGCCATTTATATCACTTAATTCTAATACTAGCACACCAAAGCAAAAATATGACAGCGGTAGTGTACCAGCTAAAGTGTATTAAAAGTCCACTATTACGCAAAGTAAACTTATTTATCACCTTCTTATACAGTAAACTGTTCACTTTACGTTGCTCTGTCGTCATCTCTGAAACTGTCTGCTACTGTGACAGAGTGACCTGCCTATGTGTTTGTGTTACCTTAATTTTGTTCACCCATCCCACCTTACCTCTCCTTCTTTCTTTCCTCCTCACCCACCCTTTTTCTGTCTTCCCCCCCTCTCTTCCCTGCAGGGAGAGCAAGGTCCAGTCGGAAGCCCAGGTGCCAAAGGTTATCCTGGCAGGCAGGTGCAGTAAATCCTCAAATGTGACTGGTACAGTTGTATTCACAGCCATAGTAAGGGCAAAGGGCCTGGGGGGAAATATTTGGGTAAATACTGTAGAGAGGAGCTGGAATATCTTAAAGGATAAAACTGTTCAGTTTGTGCTTTTATTGCACAGCTACTGTTAAAACTGTATTTTGCACAAAAGTACCTGTTGCTGTGCCTTCTATATGAACTAACTGCTGTCTTTGCAATGTATCATACAAATAACCTGTAATCTGTTAGAATTTTACACATTGTGTTTATAAGACTTGTGATTCTATTGTATCACAATTGCTGAGCAGTGTTAGTTGCAGTCTTTGGCTGTTATTTCAAAATGCCGTCATGATTCACAGTTGCACACATTCACCGTGTATTTTGGCAAATGTTATTTCAGGTATAGACCAGTAAAAGAGTTGAGCTTCTAAAAATTGTCCACCTTGTTTTTAGGGTTTACCAGGGCCTGTAGGACCAATGGGGCCTAAAGGCGTTCGGGTGAGTTAATTGCACTTCTTCCCTTGAAGCGCACAAAGTTTGATTTTATCAGTCTAAACTACTAACATTGGTGCTTTAACAGGACTAGGCCTTCAGTCTGACGGCTTGCTGAAACTTTTTACTTGGCAGCGTTTATACAAGGAGACTGTAATTCATGCAGGAAGTTAATTAATTTATGGTTGAAAACAATTTGGAGCTGTAAATCTGTTATTGCATGAGAGCTTGTATGTGCGCATAGGGTAGATGCAGGAACACAGAACTGCATGCAATTATGAAAGCATGCACCAGCATCCACCTCTGCTCACATAAATATCTTCATACACATTCACTCAACATGCTAAACGCAGAAACCTTTACTTGTAATGTAACTTTGCATTGCTATATACAGACTCTTACTGAAAGACTGGCTGTTGATAAGCCTCCACATACAAATACACACCCTTTAGTTACACAGACAGACACTCACAGACACACATTGTGATTTTTATGTTGTGTTGCAATAAAGGTTCTTTATCAGTTCCCTTTGGCTGATCCAAAATGTCCCCTACCCCCACTGGCTGGAATTTCCTGTTTAACCTCCATATGAGGCCCTGCTGCCTTAAGGAGACATTCTAGTCCTCTCCCTCGCTCACTGAGCCACCTTTCCACATATTCTGCACTCTTTTTTGCAGCATACTCCATATTCTGTATGTAAACCTACAGTGCTCAGCTCATGCTTGCCTAAGTAGTATCCTAGCTGTTCCTCCAGTGTTCTACTGTTGTGGTGTTTGTGTTTGTTTTCCTCTGTGTGTGTGTCTCCCTCTGTACCAACAGCCCACTGTGATGTCCTGGCTATCTTCAGAGATCCCTGGCGTGAGGGTATGTGCCCTTGGACTACATCGTGGAAGCCAGCACCATGCAGTCCATGGGCATATACACTTGCCTCATGGCTTGGTTCTTCATGGAAGCCTACCTTATCCATGCTGGACCGTCGGCCCCTGAAACCTAGCCCTAGAGTCACTTGCTCTTCTTCCTACTGTTTTTATGGCATCCACCTTCTCATACCACAAAATTCTTCTCTCTTTTTCTTGTTTTCCTCTCCTCTCCTGCAGGGATTCATTGGATTCCCAGGGCATTTTGGCCAGGCTGGGCCTGATGGCGAAAGAGTGAGTTCATATCAAATATATATTTTCTCTTTGTTATAATTGCAAAACTGTATAGTGACCAACTAAACGTAGATGATGACTGTCAGAAATGAAAACAGTACCCCTCCTGCTATTTCATCCAGCTGTCTTGTTGTTGTTATAATGTGAAGAAAAAGTCCCCAGCTGTCGAAGATGCTGCTGTATAAAGCTGTGTGGGAGTGTTGATGATTCATAGGATAAAAGCCCCTTCTCAGAACCTTTGAACTGCCTGACCTCATCAAGGCCTCCTCCATCTTTACAGCCTCTAAAACATGGAGCAATTAGCCTACTTTTGACATGATCCAAGAGGTTGCGTCAGCACGGAACAGGCTATAATGAGAAGCCCTTCATGGCTAGCCAGGCAACAAGACGGCTCAGTCTTTAGCTGCACACAACACATGGTGTCTACATGTCCTTTCCCAGGTTAAAGTGGTGTTAATTTAACGTGTATGTATGAGATGAAGGCCTAAATCCCTCTTAATAGGCTGAAATAATCTTGGATAGGCTGCAGTCAGCTGTTCTTCACATCTGTTGAATCATGAGCTGAGAGAGGCCTGCAGTTATTGCTTTTTAATTGTGTTTTGAATCAGTTATGCCCAAAGGTTTTACTGTATGTTTTGATTTTGATTTGGTTTTTACATCATTTTCATCTTTCTCTTTGCTTTTCCCCTCTCTGCTGTTTTCTATCCTGCTGCCTCTCCCTCTGTTTCTTGTTTTGATTTTCAGGGCATTCCCGGTGTACCAGGGAAGAGGGGCAAGATGGGTAGGCCGGTAAAGTTTTGTCTCAACATACTTTACAGATAATGTTTCCAAAGTGTGATGAATTGTGTTGGAGGTATTGTGTTGGCAACCGTGGTTCAGTGGGTAGATCGAGCGGTTATCTCCCAACTGGAGGGTTGGAGGTTCGAATCTCGGTGCCGTCCACATGTCAAACTGTTCTTGGGTAAGACACTGAACCCCAAAGTTGCCCCCGATGGTTAGAGCCATCGGTTGAGTTGGTGCCGCAGATGGCTGCCTCAGTTCTGTACCGGAAACAAATTCCTTGTGTATAACATACTTGGCCAAATAAAGGTTATTATTATTTAGGTATTGACCATGAATGTATCAGCTGTTAATAATGACTTAAAGAGGGAGATAATGACACATGTCAACATGACCGGTCCCGCTCAAATAAGGCAATGATGTCAGTTACTATTACAAAGACGTTTTATAATTTGCACCTCTGTTTATGTCATATTGAGAGTTTTTGCTGCAAAGACTCTAACGCCTACTGTGCACATGAACATTTATAACCTTTGCATTTACGTCATTGTTTGAGTCTGCTCAGTATTTCCATGGCTGTTGGAAGGGTTAACTGCAGCCTGAACACTGTGGAGTCCTACCAGCAATATGCCGGAATTTTGGATGCAACAAGAAAGGCTTTTGTGGAGTAAAGGGCTTTTGGTCTCCCCTCCAGCATGGAGCCATGCCATTTGGAGGGGGCCATCGGTTCTGTTGTGTGTGTCAGACTGTGTTCAAAGTTAGTTTGACAGAGTGTGTCAGACAGGATTTGTAACCCTGAAACTCACTGCTGAGATCATTGTGCAGCTGTTGCTTATTGGATTTTTGGTAAATAAGGCATTCATAGAACAAAACATCTAAATTCAGGCAAACCAGTGTCTGTTTGGTGTGAGGCTTTGAGAGCTGCAGCTTATTGTTTAATTACACAAATATTTAGGAAGTACATGTGAGTGCAAAGTCACTGTGTGTGAGGGTTTGGAGCATTTGTTTGAATTAGCTTTTTATCGTGCGTGTGTTCTCTGCATTAGGCTCATGATCCAATCCAGAGAAGTCCTGTAATTTTAATGATTTCAAAATCTGTAAAAGGCCACTTTAACTGCTACAGTCCTCTATAACGGACCTTTAAACTTGAAAGCACACACTATATCATCACTGTCATATGATTTCATGGTCCAACATGGAAAATGAAAAGCCATGATGATCCCTGACATTTTAATAGCCATAACCACAGCACTTGTACTCTGTCAAGGAAACACATACACAGTCTATCATCCACCAAAGTGTGATGAGAGATCAGATATTTCTGAAACACTGGAGAGCATAAATAGATTCCAAATTGCATTAGCCAAAAGTTCTACATTTACATTTGTTTTGACTTTATATATAACTGTTTGGGGTTTGGCTTTGTTCATGTTTCTGAAATTGTCTTTGTCCGGCTCATCAACTGCAGTTCCTTCACATTACTACGGTATCTGGCAGTGTTTACTGCTGTTGTGTGATCCTTTTTCACATTGAAGCTGGAAAACAGGGTCGTCTGACATCATATACAGGCAGAGATACATTAAAGGCTTGAATGACTCTCCTCAAAGGCTTTTTTAAATGCTGCATTTGGCAACGCTGCATTTCCCACATTTGTCATTAGTTTGTGCAGCAGTAGTGGCAGCTGTATGATTCATCTTTTGGGTCACTGTCATGTGTCACTGATTTCTGGTGTACTTGTGCTACCCCCAGTGCGCATAATTTCTTATTGCCATAAAGCTGCCTCAAACATAACACTGGCCCTTTCTTCATACATTTTCTGTGGGAGTTGTTGTGTTGGGGTGGGGGGTGGGTGTGTTTGGAGGCGCTCCAGAAGCTTAGTAGGAAGAGAAAAAATCTTTTTGTGACACTGTCTAATTAAAGTGTTTAGTGCAGTTATGATCACTTCATTGACCTGGATAGGTGAACATTTACATACCGTCGGTCAGAAGGGTTTTTCTTATATCAAATGATTCCAGACTGGTAGGGCGAGTCAGAAATCGAAATAATTATACATACTGTAGATTTAAGACTAGTGGTTAAGGCGCAGCACTCTCACCACTGCAGCCCGGGTTTGAGTCAGGAACGACATCCGGCGTAAAACACGTGCCAAATGTCAACACACGAATCGTCAGTGTGACGATTCACTGTAGCGACCCCTAACGGGAAAAAGCTGAAAGTGACATTCATACATACTTTAGATTTAAAATATCTGCCATCTTACTGAAATATCTGACATTTTCTGGAGGTATTCACAATAAATAATGTGTGAAGGCCAGAATATCAGCCATCATGAGTGCTTCTGGATGGTCTCATTTAAAAGTTGCGTTGGCCCTCTGCTTGCTGCAGATGTAGTTTCTCTTTGGAGCACCCCCACCTGTTAGCATAGCTCAGATTAGCTCCCCATTTACTGCTAAATAGATAGAAAAATTACTTGGCTGCTGGTCTTTCTTGTTGCACATTAAAAAATGGCCTCAGTCTAAGTAGAACAGTTGGCTGCTCACACCCTACAGCTGATAGATGTAATGCTTATAATGATGCCGTTATGCTCATATTTTGTACATATTTCAGATTGCTATTACAGTAGCAGTGCTCTTGGTTGTGTAACAGTCAGCTGTATGTGTAAAAACCTGCTCTGGAATATACACTATGGTTCAAAGTTTGGAGTCACCTCCATTTTTCAGTTGTTTTTGATACAGTTCAACAGCCAAACACAATTGTAATGTTCTTTCTACAACTGAAATCAAATAATGTTTGGATAGATAGCACTGTTCCAGGAGTTCCCATAAAATGTGTTACACTTGTAGGTTTCTTTGCTTTCAGTTTTCACCTATAATGAAATAATGTCTCAAAGCATATAGCAATACAGCCACTTCCAACACTGTCATAGCACAAATAGAATATGTTGTTGTACATAATCAACAAAAGATGGAACATCGGTAGAAGTTGCCTAAATTTTCAAGGCTTAATTTACTTTAAGTTAACTCATTACTCCATCCCTGAAAAAGGCCTGTTTTAGATGAAGTTTACATACATTTTTAGCTTTTGGTATTTGTTTGTTTGTTTTTTTTATCTCTGGAAGTTTGCTTTTTAGCTTTGTACCATTTAAGGTCACTGACTAAACTCAAAGTGCTTAAATGTCATAATAAAAAGTGGGAAATGGAGGTGACCACAAACATTTGAACTGTAGTGCATATGCAGTTCCTGTCAGCTTTATAGCAGCTTTCAGCAAACTGTTTTTTTTATTTATTAAACAACCATTATAGTACCTCAGCAGATTAATATTGGACTTAACAGTATATTGATCATGTGGCCAGAAACACAACTCCAAATGAATGACAATGTTGCTCACTAACTAATAAGCAAGTGTTTGCTAACAAGTTAATCATAAACATCAAATATAAAATCTGTGGTCAGTACTTGTTTTTGCTGTTCCCAAGTGGCCAATAAAACAGATCTTGTGTCTATAAAGCAAAGAGACTTTCATTGGATGTCTGATGTGATTGTTGCTGTTTGTGTGCAACCAAACATCAATGCACTCTTTGTCCTCAGGGGTTTCCAGGAGACTCTAGGGAGAAAGGACCACCTGGACCAGATGGAGAGCCAGTATGTCACGCCCTCTGTTACTCACACACTGTCAGACATACACACACGCACACGTCTACTGTAAATACATAACCAATCCAAATGTGTTTTGTACACAAACACACAGCTCTCCCACATACACACACACACAGTCTAAGAGAAGTGCTTTCACTCTCACACACACAGTCCCCTGGTGTTTTAGTACTCTGACATTTTGGCAGTGCTGGTGGATAAATTTTCTGTCCGTCCAGCAGTTTGCCTCAATTTTTCTGTTTTATTTATAGTTAGTTTTTTTGCTCTGGACAAGCATTTCTGCTGTATTTCATTTCATCCCATTCTTTCCTCTGTTGTAAATTATTTTACTTGGCATTTCTTTCAAAACTTACAGTATTAAGGGGAGACCAGTTAGCTGGCTTGGCTTTCAAATGCAACCTTTTCATTTCACCAGTATAAAATGGCCACTAACACACACATACATACTTCCAGTCTTCATTTCCAGGAGACGTACCCTAACCGGACAAGCCTCCGTTCCCCACGAAGATAGTAACTCATGGATTTTGGGCTGCACAAATTGAAAAACAAGACCCCCCTCACACACACACACACACACACACGCAAACTGTATTATTAGGAGGTGGCATCCAACAATAGTAAATGTTTTCAATTCAGTAATGATAGTTCAGAAAACACAGTCTCACATTTCTGTCTATATGGAAAATATCAGATTATTTGATTTGAGCGTTTTTATTTTTCTGGGATATTCGCTGTCGTTATTACAACTGTAGCACTTCATCAGTGAGAATGGAAACATTTTAAAATAAAGACAAACACACTGGCATGCTACACCTTCATGTCTGACAAAACAATTTGCCTACATATCCCTGACTTTTTCTATGGTTTAGTCTTTTACATGAGGCAACTAACTTCTTAATATATTCTTTCTTGGCTTCTTTTGCTTTGCCTGAGAGCAAGGACTGATCTCATCGAATGCATCAGATGTTAGTTTGAATAACCTGTATGGCCGTATGAAATTCCAGGTACTATATATATTTTGGGCAGGTATAATGATTACCAGGTTCACCATCTCAATTTAGCATGTTGGCATACAACATTAGCTAATTAGCATCATACAAAGTGTAGCTGAGATTAGTTTTACATGTATTTGGTCCTAAACCAATGATGATGGTGCTAGATCAAAGGTCAGGGTTTTAGGAGACATCCTCTGGGGACAATAAATATTTGTGCAAAATTCTATCTGTATAATTTTTTTTTCTTGAGGGAGAACAAATTTGCAGATTTGACACAAAATGGCACAGTGGGACGATGGGCTAACATCCTCCTCCACCTTCACCTCACACACACATACACACATAAACATGCACACAGCCCCCTCTCTTAAGTTGCGTTCAACACTGAGCCACTCTTCTGGGCATGTTTGCTTAAAAAGGAGCCAATAACCCCAGAAACTTACTCCTTCTCCCTCTCCCTTCATCTCACTTACTCTTTCTCCTCCTCTGTAATTAGGGTAACATGGGAGCCCCAGGTCCAAACGGAGTTCCTGGACTCATTGTGAGTAGCAGTTGCATGTTTCAGTGTATAGTCTGTGTGCTCTCCTCAACATAGCTGTAAACCAAATATCCCTGCTTAATTGGAAAAACATTTCCATTAGCTCTCATCATTTATTCTGCCAGCCATTTTTTTGGAAAATGAATCACACTTTGTAGGTTTGTTTGTACTACTGTAAACATATTTAAAATGTGAATGCAAATGATTCTTGAAACATGTTTTTTAGTTATTTTTTGCCATGGCTGTAAAGCCTGAATTATGTCGTTTATCCCGCTCATTTCCTCTCATGACAAACAAACAGAGTGATCCACAAAGCATTTTGTTTTCCTCTTGAATCTCTCTGCTATTAACTATTGTATTTTTGAACTAGAAGTCCCCCTGCCCACCCATCACCTTGCCCTCCATGCTTGTCCATTCCAACAATTGCATAATTGTGTCTGATTACAATATGTCCCTGGTTTCTCTTGTCATGGCCTGTCTTCACTGTCGCTGCTGCTCCTCCTGGTCTATTCTAGGCCACCAGTGATGGTAGTAGGCCTATAATTGGAGGACTCTCTGATTACAGCTCTGCTCTGAGCCCTGTCCTCTCTATCAATGTGACCCAACATGACATATAGTACACACCAGCATCACAGAGCTGCACTTCAAAGATATAAAGATACAAACACCCTTCTCTGGCGACTGCAGGCCTTAACTTTGACAGAAGCCAGGCCACATTTGAAGAAAAGTGGCAAATGTACAGTATGTACTGTAGGCATGTAGAAAACTCTCAATACACCGTTCAGAAAATAGAAAAGCTTTTTTCTGAAGAGGTGGCAGCACCACATTTTTATTTATTTGTTTCTATTTTCCATCCTTGCATTCTGCATTTGGAATGTCATTGGGAAATGTTTGCCTTGCACACAAAACCATCCTACTTTGATGGAAGTTGAAAAAGGTTGTTGACCTGGCCAGAAATTGAACCTACAGCATGTGTTGCCCTGTGACATGCAATGAAAACAAATTCAGAAACCTGGAATCAAAACATTATACAGTATAGTATATTGTGTTTTTTACGCATTTTTGCATTTTGGACAGATGAGCATGAAATCAGGAAATACAACAGGGACAGTGAGTGTTTGTAGGCTCTCTATGGCTCTGCAACACTGTGGCCAAACAACAAATGCTGGGTTTTTGTTCAGGCAGATCACTCCAGTTGAATCCTGGATAAAATTTTTATTCTCCTTTGTCCCATTGCAAATTTCCTCAGCTTAATAAGAAGACATTTTCCAGCCTCTCAATGCTTAACATCAAATTAAGCAACTTGGAGAGAGGGACATTTTGCAGTATACTATATTAAAACATAATCTGTCACACATGCAGTATTCACAGAGCAACAAATATTTGAGGTTACCTTGTAGGTGTTTGCAAGCAGAACATCCAGAGGTCCAGAAAATGGAAATAAGGTAACTACTAGCAGCCTTTGGTGCTTCTCTGTGGAGAGAATGTTTCACAAGCAACCTCATGAACAGGGCCAAAGTTTCTTTTCACATACTGACAAAAAAAGCAGATAATCCAGTCAAGACTTTAATCATCCATAATTGGGCCTTAATAAAATACAGTTCTCCCTTGCCATTACAACTGCAATTTTGTTTCTTCTGCTCTGGGCCATGAAGCCCAGTGCTGGTTCCCTTTCCAGTGATGGAACAAGACATTATGTCAAGCATTTATTCTTAACAGTACAATCTTGGCTTCAGACTACAACATCTACTCCATGTCTCCTAAATACAGCATGGTTACATGTTACCATCCCTTGTTTGTGTTGAGTACAATCTGAAAGCAACATAATAAAGCTTATTCGTGCATTTACAGTAATAAACGCTAATGGGAACTGAAGTGTACTCTGTGTGTGTGTGTGTGTCTGTAATTTATGCATATGATATCACTGTATATGAATATGTTTCTTATTTGTCCTCTCTTCTTACAACAGGGTGATATGGGACCTGTAGGAGAAATGGGCCTTCCAGGACCTATTGGACTGAAGGTACTCACACAAAGAGATGGAAACTGTTACCTTCACTGCCTTATCTTGTATCACCTTCTGTAGACTAAGTAGAGTTTGGATAATTTTTGCTTAATACCATTAAGAAATAGCAGCTCACAAAAGTGTGTTCAGTGTGCCTGTGTGTAGGTGAATACACTGTAGGTGCACTGTGGTTTTGTGGGGTCCCTCTCTAACCCATTTGTTGGTGCTTGTTCCAGGGAGTGCCTGGAAATCCAGGAGAGCCAGGACTGAAAGGTGATAAGGTGATCTGAATATTCCTGTTATTGACTTGTGTTTGAGTAGCATGTAATGGATATGTACTCATTTGCTTCCTACTCTAGCCATCCCTTTAAACATTACATGAAAGGGACAATCTCAGCTTTAATTTGGTTAGGTTTCCTGGGTTTCTATTTTACTTCTGCAAGGGTTCAAAAAGTAATTAGACACTTGGCTGTGCATGGGCAGCTGTGTTGTTTCATGCAAGGAAAGCTCTCACTCATGGTTCAGAGTTAACTGAGAGATGAGAGTTGCCATTTACATTGAGGTGGGCTTTTCTGTGGATATGAGGAGTAAAGAGATGACCATGCAAGTGAAGATGATAATATTCAGGTTCAAAAGAGTAAACATATATCAAAAAGATATTAAAGATAGTTTGCCAAGAACTAGAAAATTGCAAATGATAGTTGTTGTGTCAACAATCAAGACATCATGATGTCAGAGGATTCGTCACAAGTTATAAACCCCTAAGCCTCAACAACAGAAGGCCAGGCTGTTTCCGGGGATGGGCTGATAAAGCAAAAATCAACCTCTATCAGAATAATGGAAAGAAGAAAGTGTAGAGGAAAAAAGAAATAGTACATGGCCCAAAAGCCACCACCTCATCTGTCAAATATGATGCTGGCAACAGGCTGAATGCAGAGGTCTACAGGGACTTTCTTTGTGCTTAGTTTTGACCAAATTCATTAAAACCCATTAGGATGACATTTGATCATTCAGCATTATGGTAATCTTCAACATACAACTAACTCAGCCAAAGAGCTTCTTAGGCTGAAGAGTTGGAATATCACAGATCAGTCACCTGATCTCAGTCTGATTCCACTTACTGAAAACCAGACTAAGAGCAGAGGCACCCCACAACAAACAAGAGTTGGTAAGTGGCTGCAGTGGAGGCCTGGGAAAGCATCATTGCATGTCTGCTGATCTTCAGGTAGTCTCTGGATGCAAAGGGTTTTTCCACAAAATATTAAATATGATGATTTTGTTTGACTTCATGTGTATCTGTCCAGTTACTTTTCAACTCTTAACCTTTGGGCTCTATGTGTTAAACAGTCCAGATCTTCCACAAAATTCTTTCTATATTAACAAACTTGGTCAAATTAAAGCCAAGACTTGGCACTTTGATATACTATTCATTATTTTTATTTCAAACTGAATGTGCTGAAGCACAGAGTCTGAAGGACAAACAACATGGACAACTTTACAGATAATGAGGCTGTACAGTATATAAAGCAAGAGATTTGATTGGTTTCTCTAATTTCAATCAATGAGTCGTTCTGAAATCATTTGTTGAGATGTTAAAGGAGCCTTCACCTACCCCACCTTTTATTTGTAGGCAGTCAGTGAGAGGCCATCTGTTGAATACACTTAAAGGAATAGTTTGACATTTTGAGAGATACATTTATTTGTATTCTTGCTGAGCATAAGATGAGAAGATCTGTATTACTGTAACATCTGTTTGTTCAATACAAAGCCAGGAGACGTTAGTGTATCTTAGCTTAAAAGACAGGAAACAGGAGGAAACAGCTAGCCTGGTTCTGTCCAAAGGTAACAAAGGCTGCCTGCCAGCACCTCTAAAGCTAAAGCAAACCATAAAAACTGATGGGTAGAAATGACTATTTTTAGTTTGTTTTTTATGCAAAGCTAAGCTAACCACCTACTGGCTCCAGCTCCATGCAGAGATGATGTCAGTCTTCTCATTTAACACTCAGCAAGAAAATGATGACCTATTCCCTTAAATAATAAACTAAGAATAGAGGAACTTAATCAATATTCCAAAAAAAAAAAACTTTTCTGTGCTTTGGAAACTACTTTAAAGACTCAGCGACATAGTTTCAGTAAATGACTGGACAATTAGAACTAATACAGATAAGACCAGTGGTAACATTTTAAAATCAATCTGAATTAGCTGTGGTCTGCTAATAGTAGAAAAATGTGCAGTACAATCAGTGCACCTGGAGGAGAAAGAAGAATAAATGATCTCCAGATTTGCAAATGGCACACAAGGTCGTGCACTATGTTAGTAACCTGAGCTTCTAATGAGAAGTCTGAATAAAAATGACAACATTGTGCACTTCTCACTTTACATTTGGAAGGAAGCTCATCAGTCCAGAACTAAAATACTAATTCGTCTGTAATTACTAATCTATTGACCACTGGCTTATCCTTTAAGATGTGGGTATACAGGATGGAGTAATCTTCATCAGTGGCTTACACTTTAATACTACATGAAAAATGTAGCTAATGCAGTGAACTAGAGTCATCTTGTGTGAAGGTATACATCATAGAGACCAGTAGTTAGTATGGTCTGTTGAAAAACCTGAATGCAATTGAACAAATAGAAAGTTATTGTTTCCCCTAATGTTCTTCATTTCTCTTTCTTCCTGTCTGTACCTCATCCATCTTCCTGGATGTCTTTATCTCCTCCTCTCTCCATCAGGGTGAAATTGGGATTCCTGGAGAGCAAGGGGAAATTGGTTACAAAGGAGATAAGGTAAGTCACCACTGTAACACATTTGTGCATGTCATAAATACTCACTGCATATCGTCTGCCCTCATCAGCTCGTGCCCTGCATGCTGCCTCCAGCACACACATCCAGCCTTTGTTGCAGAATTGTGATTTTTCACAATGACTTATCCAGATGTGTGCTGTCCAGCTCATGGAAATTCTTATGTAACCCCCTCCTCATTTGTCTGTGCATGTAAGCAAATCTAACCCTTTCCACATCATAGAACAGATTGGTCCCAAGAGATAACAAATACTCAGCAGAGTCATGCAGGTCTAATGTCTGTTTCTCTAGAAAAGAAAACGGGGTTCTGCTTTTTTGAGCCTGAATCCTGACCAGCAGTCTTAGTTTTTATGTGTTTTGTTTCTATTGGACAGGGTATCCAGGGCACTCCAGGGTTACCAGGTATCCGTGGGAAAGCAGGACCACAGGTTAGCTCTGACTTTAATGCCCGGGATTACTTTAAAATGCTAAAATATGGCTGTAATGCTTTTCATCTAAAGGGTTAGAGGGACATTTGGGAAATTTTCTTGTTGACTCACATATCCATTCATTCGATATAAGGCTAGAGCCAGGAGCTGGTTAGCTTAGTTCAATATCAAGACTGAAACCTGGTGGAAACATTTAGCTCAACTCTCTCCAAAGGTAACAAAATCCACTAACGAGCATGTTATATCTGCTTTGTTTAATCGGTACAGTTTCAACCGTTTTAAACTCGAGTGTGAAAAGAACTTGTGATTTTACAGGTTATGTGCAGGACTATTTTTAGTCAGTGTTTTTCCCCACTGCAAAACCATTCTTTGTCATTTCTACAAATTAAACAAATGCTACATGGTAGTTAATGACCCACAGAGACGTAGAAAGTGGATTTTGACAGATCCAAGCTAACTGTTCCTCCTGTTTCTAGTTGTGCCAAGCTAAGCTAACCAGTTACAGTTACAGCCTTATATTAAATAAACAAACATGGGAATTGTATTGACCATCACTCATTTCTTTAAGGCATTTTTCACATTATCGTATTTTTACAGGGCAAAATTGGAGAGAGAGGCCCAGATGGTGCACCTGGACCGCCAGGCCCTGAGGTGTGAATTTATACCTTCATTGCCACTTTAAATGGGTGAGTCTCTATTTTCATTACAGATAAGAGGCAATAAAAATTATTTTTTCTTTTGACCATGACAGGGTTTCCCTGGTGACATGGGACCACCAGGAGAGAATGGCCTTGAAGGACCAAAGGTGAGTAAAACATCATTTTGGCTGAGTTGTCTATCAACTGGTGTATGTTTCAAAGCATAAAACAGAATGAGAGTACTGCAGCCACACTAGCAGCTCTGTGAGGCTTAGGAGTCACCATTCTAACATGCTCACAGTGACAAAGGTTACATGCTGATGTTTAACAGGTAAAATGTTTACCATCTAACTTAGTGTGTTGCACGTACACTTGCTAATTAGCATTAAATAAAAATTAAAGTTGTGGCTGATTGCAGTGACATCACTTATGTAGGTACTTGGTCACAAACCAAAGTTATGAACAAATTAAAAATTTGCCCTGATGATGACATTAGAAGAAAAGTCAGGGAATCACTAGTCATTACTATTCATCCAATGGGGACCATGAATGTCTGTTCCAGATTGTCATTGCAGTCTATCCAGTGGTTGTTAAAATATTTGTCTTTACCAAAATGGCGAACTGATTGACAGACAGACAGACCAGTGCCTTTCCTGCAGCCACACTGCTAAAATTGCTAATAACATATGAGTAAATATCACATTTACCTTTGCACATCAGCTTTCATTTCACTGCCATTTATTCATCCAGGGAAAAACAGGGACCAGAGGTATACCTGGGCCACAAGGGGTGCCTGGCTTGGAGGTAAGACTGTCACTCACATCAAACAACCCCAAAGTGCCAGAAAATCATTGAAAGTTGTATGGTACAAGGCCTCTCTTTTCCGAGGGCTACTTTATGTGCCCAAATATAATTCAGAGTAATATTATCTGTTTCCAGGGAGATGAGGGCTCGATTGGACCACCAGGCCCAACAGGACTCGAGGTGGGTTATTAGACAAACACCTGGTGTTGCCTGGCTGGTTGAATAGAAGTAGAGAGAGAAGACAACACAGACAACTGCACATTTTAATTTGGGGCAACCAGACTAGAGATCCTCTTGACTTCTCCATGGTAACATAAAGAAATGTTGAGTCTGTGTGTGTACTTAACATAGTTGGCATGTTTTTTTGAGCTGTATCACATTCAGGACCATCTTTCCTGTCCATTGTTGTGGTTTTATTCGTCCTTTTTATATCTGTGGTAAATTCAACATCAAAAAGAAAGAGGTAAAGGGACTGAAGTATGATTCGGTCTATGGAAAATGCAGCAGTGAAGATAAATCTGTTTTCATGTTTTGCAGTACAGCAATTCACAGTTTCACAGCCTTTTAGTTACTAGAACAAAGGAGTGATGTTTGCTGGCTAGTCTGCAGTGAAAGCTCACTGATGTAGATCTAAAAGGAGAAAGCTCTGGATGAGTAATAGGAGAGGAGATTTATTAATTGTGTTACAGCTCGTCTCTGGATAATTGTCCTCTCACAGTTAGGAGCTGCATGCAATCCTTGATCTTGTCCACCAGGGGGTGGTAAGCGCCATCACTGTGTTTACAGCTGCCATAAAGTGCTAAAAGATGTTATTGGGCCACTGCATTTTTTTTTTTTAACTTTATTTCTCAAATGCCTTTATGAACAAAAAAAATTGACTGTTGTAATTATACATGCTCTCAAATTTTTTTCTGACTTTTTAAAATGTAGTCATTTTCCTAGAGGCTACTTTTTTTTATCTCATACATCTTCCTACTCCCAGTTATTTCGACTTTCACTCTCTCGGCCCAGTTTCCCATTTGATTCTCTAACCCCCTCTCTCCTCTATCTGAGGGAGAATGGTGTATGACTCGTTCAGGTGCTGATCTCTGGCCAGGTGCCAAAGGTCGGCCTACTCCTCTACCTCATTAACCTTCTCAGCCAGTTGTCCTTTTCACCTTTCTTCTCAAAAGCACACCTTCAATCTTTTTTTTTTGCCATCTCCCACTCCTTCTCAGTTTACCTTCTTGGTGCAATTTTGTGTCTCTAAGTATGTCTTTCTTGTTCTGATGTGGTCATTTTCAGACCTAAATCTAAATCAGGTGATAAGAAATTCATTAATTCTGGACAGCTCATATTAACTGTCCTGTAGAAAATTGGCTTTCACTCTGTGTTTACTCTTTGTGAGAAAAATACAGTATTAGACTGTAACATCTTATGAAAGCTGCCAACCTTTCTTGACTAAAATGTTGGAATTGTTGAGTCACTCAGTTTTTAGGAGTTTGGTTTACACATGTTTGACCTCGAGTTATTGCCTGATAAAAAGCACTTAACCCCCCCATCTTAAACCCAGGAATTACTGTCTGTGTAAGAGGAAGAGTCATTGAACTCTTTCACAGCCTGACTAATGTACTGTCATCATTACCTGAACACACACTGCATATGTCAGCAGCAAGCTTAAGCTTAAGTGAGCTGCAGCAGCTGCAAACCACTCCCTAGCTCTCTCTTCAAACTTTCATAGGAAACAGATCCTTTATATTCAATGAGAATTTGTGATGAATGGTAATGATCCTTTAACTGGCAAGTGAATTTATCATTCTATGCTATGTTCTCTTCCAGGGTGAAATGGGCAGAAAAGGATTTCCTGGGAAAGTTGGCCCAGAGGGAGTGAAGGTGAATAAAGAGATTCCTCATATGCTGTGGGATTTTTTTCTCTTAAAATCTAAAACATATTGAATCAACTTTGTAAACAAATGACTGCTAATATACATTTTCTGTAGGGTGAGCCTGGTGTCACAGGAAATGTTGGACCTATGGGAGAAAGAGTAAGAAATCCTCACATAGCCACTTCCTGTATGGAATAATAGCACTCTTTCTAAACCATTTTTGCAAATATCTATCTGTTCACCAGTCCAACGACTCTGCATTTCAGGGCTTGGTGGGTTTCATAGGACCTGTGGGAGAGGCAGGAATGGCAGGAGAGAAGGTAAAGAAACCTTGTTCCATCCTTACAAGTCCTCACACAGTGACTTTGATGACTGAATGTTGTGTTCTGTATCATTAGGGGGATAGAGGGGAGACGGGCCTTCCCGGACCACCTGGAGAGAAGGGATCAATGGTAAGATATGATGAAGAAGACAGTTTGATGAATACTAAAATATAAGCTTATACAAAGTTATCTAGGTGCAGTGTCATTTGGAAAAGTTCTTTTAAAAATATAAGTATAAATATTTCTGCAGATGTATATCCTTAAGTCAATGTGTGTGTATGCGTGTATGAATGAAATCCACTTGATTACATCAAACAAATTCATGCACATTCATTTTTGTGTTGTAAGAAATGCTTGATGTCATCGTGTTCCCACAGCCTTACTGTTTTTGTTTATTAGATTAATCATTTATAATACCCTCTTTTGTGCTGGTCATAATCTCCGATCTGTGTCCCGTGTGTGTTTCTGTCTGTGTAAATATGACAGGGTCATCCAGGGACACCAGGGGAGACGGGACCTACAGGACCACCAGGAAGACCAGTAAGTCATCATTCTTTATTTTTTGACTCAGTAGTAGTTGATTTGATTTGATTTATTCTTTCAAGCATGTAAAGACAGTTGATATGTCAACACACATAATTTTACACATATCCAACAAATGCTAATCCAATATCAATTAACTTATACCTAGTACATGCTTGAATGGAGTAGGAAGAAGTCAGACTTATCCAGTCCTACCCCATGACATCATCTTACATACATAAATGGATGGACTTCATCTCAGTTTTATTTGAGGCTCAGAGTCACAAGTCTGGATGTGTCAGAGGAAGCTGATAGGAACTAATATCTTGAAGTCTACTAAAGAAATGGAATTTTCCCAGATGTGATTTAAAAAAAAAAGTATCAGGTACTTTGTGTAACAAAATATATATTGGCAGTGGTAGTCATTGTCCTCTTTGAGCACATGAGAGTAAAATGCACAGTCTGCTGAGCATTATGAGAGCTGGCGGCCTCCTGCTG